CTGGCTCGCCACTGGGGGAGCTGCACTTATGCCCTGTATTCTAAAAGTGACTTATTCTCTGGAAGAGTTTTAGTGTGGAGTATAATTATATCTTTCTTATAGGAGATAAGTAAGCTGGCAGCATGGGGATATTTTTGGTAGAGGCTAAACTGTTCCATAGTTAGTAGGAACAAATACATACAATGAGGAACTTGTTCCAGCATTGAAAAAAATTAGCAGCCTAACAATATGACTAGGGAAATCAGCTTCTCACTGCACTGAGACATCATGTTTATGTGATGCTCACCTCAGGGAATGGCTTCCCCTGTGAGCAAGCTGAGGTTTAAGACATTTTTGATTTTTTTTTTGTTTTTTCTTCCTTAATCTTTCCCATTCATTACATCTTGTGAGATTATATAAATCTTGTTTATTTGCAGCACAATGCTAATCTTTATTAAAGCTTCACGTGTTTAAAAGAAAGGAATTTTAAGAAAGGAAAATCCCCAAATCTTTGTCCTAAAGCAGGGTCTTAAATATAGTGATAAAAAATTTAAAAATGATGAAGTATTAGTAGAGTCTTTTAACCACTACATAGTTATTCACCTTTTAGCTTTGCAATCATTACGGGACTTAAGAGCCCCTGAGACACCTATGCCCTATCATCATCATCATCATCATCATCCATTTCCTCTAGAAAACGGAAGGAAAGTAAATGGACAGGAGTACTGTGAATGTGTGTTATATGTGAGTGTGTGCTTTGTGTAATAAGAACAACAGCTAGAGATTAGATGTCTACATCTACCATTCAGAGAAGGTGATCATGAAAACATGATTAGTAAACAGAATAAGTGGTGGTCATGAGAGGACAGATGGGAAGAGGAGAGGACATAAGTGAAGGTGGTAGCACAGATGATGTGGTCAGAAGGTAGTAGACTGAATTAAATGAGGGGAGTGAGGCAGAATATTCTCTCCCTCTTCACCAAAGTAGCCACCTGTAAAAGTAGCCACCCGTACGCGGCAAAAAGGGCTTTGAGGTTTGCAGACCGGAAGAGGAGGCTGGGTGCCCAGGTGGGCCCAATCTAATCTTGTAAAGCCTTTCCCAGCTGTTTATAGCACAGAGAGACGCGAGCACAGAAGCAAGCTAAGAGAGAGGCAAGTTTGCCTCCTGGGAAGCTGGGGCCAGAGCCCGCACCAAGGAAGGTGGGTGGCCTCTATATGCTGAGAAGCAAGGACACATGTTCTCCTAGAGTTTCTGGAAAGAACACAAGTTTGCTGAAACCTTGACTTTAGCCCTTGAGACCTGTGTTGGATCGCCGACCTGCAGAACCGTGAGTTGATGAATCTATGCCATTTAAAGCTGTTGTTTGTGGTGATTTGTTATAGCAGCAATAGAAAACTAATGTGGGGAGGATTTGTGAAGAGAGTAGAGGTCTGGAATATTGTATGGAAAAGAAGACGGGTCAGACTGAATAGTGCCTTGGCCGCTGTGGTAAGGAGTCTGATATTTAAATCTTCTAAAACGACGGGATGGAGTGGGAAGGTGGTAGCCTCAGGAGATTCTAGGAAGAACCACCGAGGTAGTGCTGTTGTGCGGACTTCTTTGGAATCAGGAGAGCATTGGGGCAAAGGAATCAATTAAGCCTCTGCCAACAAAGTAGATGTAAAATGGCGACAGGGCTTGGTGTTGGTTTGCTGTGGGTGCAGGTAGAGACATTGTTTTGAAGAACTTGGTTACATATTTGATGGCTCCATGTTGGGGAGTTTGTTGATGTGATGGACTGAATGTGTTCCCCCCAAATTCCTGTGTTGAAACCCCATGCCTCTGTCATGGCATCTGGATGGGGCCTTTGGTAACAAGGCCTCCAAATGGGGTTGGCCTCTCTGAGAGAACCATGGGCCTGGCTTCCCTCTGTTTTCCATCATGTGAGTGTAGAAGACAGCCTGGAATCAAGCCCTCACCCAGGCTCCTTGATCTTGGACATTCCTGACTGTGAGAAATAGTTGTTTTTTATTTAAGCCGCCTCTGTGGTTATGGCTCAGGGGGTAGGTTAATTAATTGACTGTCAGCAGGAGCAGATAGTGGAGAATGCCTCAAAGTTTAGAAATGACTAGAGAATGTTGGATCCTAGAATGGTGGGCAGCTGGTTTCAGAGGGAAAAAATAAAGAGAACAGGTGAGCTGAATTTGGGACTTTTTCAGCAAGCTCCTGCTCTGCAGCTCGGGGCTCTTTTTGCGGCCTCCCACTCTGCTGTGGCCACTTCTTGCACCAGCTTCTGCTGAGAGGACCTGTCCTACCTGTCTGAGGTAGGACAAAAGGCGTCTGGTTTTGCGGCAGCCAATACATTTTCTTTTCCTCCACTCTCCCCCCATTCTCCCTTTTTCTCATTCCCTGTGTAAGGTAAGTTTTCCTTTCTGCTTTTGATTTGCGTCCTGCATTTTGAATTGTGAAGGGGAGAACTCACCAACAGGGTCATTCGTGGGTCCCCAGGTCTGCTCCTTTTCAGTTTGAAACTTTGAATTTTGCAAGAACAGTGCATAATTGTGGCAGAAATTGGGAACAGGGGCTGGCTTTCAGGAGAGGAAAGAGGGTAGAGATGTTAATCCAACGTTACCTTAAGTCCTGCTAGTAGTGGGAGTTGCATCTTGAGTGCAACTAGATGCATGAACTCTGTGGTGTGGAAGGGGGAGAGGTTGCATAGCAGGACAGCAAGGGACAAGAGATGATACTTCATTTACTAAGCCCCTACTATGTGTGATGGAACGGCTGTTTGGAATGGCTGTTAGAAAGCACCATACCCACGCCAGGGGAGTGAGCACCAGCCTGTCCTTATCTGGGCTCCTTGATAATGAGCAAAACAGGTAAGAAAGCTTGGGCAAGCAAATGTGTGATTATTTACACTAATACTACTAGAGCTTGTGGGAGGGGGAAAAAACAAACAAAGTGGTTTACTTCAATTTTCTCAATAAACAGGTTATACTTAACCCTTTTGTTTTTTTCCCTGATGACTTCACTTTTGCCTACAGACTTTCCTAAAAATCCTTTGCAGACTTTCTCCTAAGAGTTGAGCGGGCTCTGTACAGTTCTGTCTGTTGTTGGCATCAGGGCACTTGCTGTGTAATACCCTAAGGTGGGATCCCTTGGCAGATCTATCAGGATGGGAACATAGCGGGCAGGTTAGACCTGCCCCACCAGCTTAGGCTCTGCTGTGCTCCTGCCTCTTCACTTTTGTGCTTCAAGGATGTATCCTTGGTACAGTTACCCTCTGTTCTTGTCTGCTTCTCCAGCCTAGTCTATTTGTCTTGTTCCTGAATTTATTACAACTCATTTTATTCTAATGAGTCTCGATGCCTCTCTTCCTATAGATCCCCCCTCGGATAAGGCTAGCCCTCAGCAAACTTACCACAATCTTCTAAAGTATGTATGTAGAAAAGAATGTTTCTTCCTATTTGTGCTGCTGAGTGGTTGTGAGTGAAGTTTTCAGCTGAAGAGAGAAAAATGGACCTACTCTGGTTTAGACTAGAGGGAAGGAAAAATATTTAGGAGCAGGACCTAATCCCTCACCAAGTTGGCTGGTACTGTGTATGGAATAGGCCTGGATTCTGCTGCCCGTCACTATCTATAGCCAGAATAGACAGCAATTGCATGTATAAGTGCTTTTATTTTCAGATCACTGGCCACTGGCCGGAGAGAATGGAGGGCATAGGACCATTATGTTATGAAAGGGGAAGAGACTGACCTGCCATCTCATCTCAAGCTGGCCTTATTATAGAGTTAGGTACAGCCATAAGCAAATGGCCCATCAGTTGATGTTTCTGGTGTTTGTCATGTTCAACTCCCAGCACTTAACAGCCTCCCGGTTATCTTGACCCTGGTACACCAGATGGTGTCAATGTTTGGCACTCCTTTGAGCATCATCAGGGCAGGAATCTCTGATCAAAGCAAGACTTAAAGAAAACAGATCATTGGTCACACAGTGTGTACATGCAGCCTATGCTGGGTGTGGATGTGCAGATTACTATGTTTGGTATGGTGCCCTACCCTTATTCCCCACCGCCCAGCAGTACTGAGAATACTTGTAAACTCTTCCATGGAAATTAAAGGAAAGGCTAAATATAGGTTCAAGAACTAAAACAGAATTACCAGTAACTTGAAAGAATTGGAAAACTTATAAACTTCACTATTCCCACCTTTTCTCTCTAAGGTACCATTCAAAGCAGGACTAACAGCTATGTAACTATGGAATGTCTTGTATTCTTTGTAGGATTGCCTCTTACAAGCATCCTGCAGATCTCTGACCTACCTATTTAGAGCCCTTAGTAGTTATGGGTAGGAAAAAGGAACATGTTTTCACCTTCTTGACTTTAAGTAACAAACTAATGATTTTTTGCAATATAGACGGGGATCCCAATAGCAAAACTTACTTAAATGGTGATGGGTAGCTGCTAATTATAGAAAGCCATGGGCTTACTGGTAGTAGATACAGTAAAAAAAGAAATCTCTGCACAAAAGCAGTGGCATCAGCAGTAAGTCACAGATCCTGGTGAGGTAGCTGAGGAAAGACCTGTGGCTGCAGTGGCTGTGTGAGGGGGATGGAATTGGTAGAAGATTGATGAATTTCTGGAACTTACATCTTTAAGAAGCCTTCCTATTGATGAAAGCCTGTTTATGTCTAACTTATATGTTCTTCTAGATCCTAGGAGAATGTCTAAGAAATGGGGTTTCCTGAGTTTTTTAGTTGTAACTTAATTCTGATAGTACTTATAAATGTTTAATCTGTAAAAAAGAACTGAATAAACTCCTATATGCATCACTTATTCCAAAATAAGAATCCTCATCAAAATAGGATGTCCTTTTGCTGTAAATAATCTATTTGATGTTGGTACTTCCTTAAGGGGGTTTGTCATATTTGTGTTTAGAAGGAACATCCCATGGATAGTTAAAAGGACAAAGGGAAAGGAAGGACAAAGCCTGTAAAGTAACAGGCTTGCAGATAAAAAATACACAAAGGCACATTCAAATAATAAATAACAGTTTATATTAAATTTAAAAACTCTCACATAAAAAAATAGCAAAGTATAATTAATGCTTTTTCTATCTTCTTAGGAAAAGGACATTTAAAAATACTATAAATTAAAAAATCAAGTCCATTCCTTACATTTCCGCATTCCACAGTCCTTACTCATAATTACACCAAGATCTGTTTCATTTGCCTTCTATAAAGTATTTCACATCATAATTGTGTACTAGAACTTCACTTTTTGAGGTTGAGACTTGGAAAATATGGCTAATCCAGTTGAGATGTGCTGTAAATGTAAAATATACCAGATTTTGAAAACTTAGTATGGTAAAAAAAAAGATTAAAAAAAATTTTTATTGCTCGGCTAGTAGCTGGAAGCCTTAGGATGAACTGGCTGTGGCACTGGCTGCCCTCTCGGGTTAGGTGTTGTCCCTCCGCAAAGTCTGTGCTTGGCCAGTAGTGTTCAGTTTTGGGCTCCTCATTTGTTGGTGCTGGTGGCAGTCTTTCTTGTGGCCGTGGCCTCTGACACTTTGTCTTCTGTGCAGCGGGGCAGCCACATCCCACAGGGCAGTCTCTGGAGATGCAAGGCCTTGGAGCCAAAGGGCCATGGTGCACGCCTGACTGCAAAGCTCTCCAAAGGCTGCCGCTCCCCTGGTGATCTTGCTTCTGCCTCCAAGACCAAAGATAAAACTCAAATTTTTATATTGATGTTTCAGATATATAAATTCCCCAAATTTGAATTGTAAATGTGCTACTAGAAAATTTAAAATGACACCTGGCTCGCATCAAACTTCTATTGGACAAGGCTGGTTTAAAGCATTTGAAAATAAGTTGGCTATAGCTTTAATTTACCAGTGTCTTAAATACTCACCACTGCTTTTGCAAGTGGGAACTGTAAAATAACAATCCAGCTACTTCTATGCATTCTTTGTTTTTTCTAATGAACATTTATTATCGTTTATAATCTTAGACTTACAAAAAGGATTGGCATTTAAGACATGTGGCATTAAAGATGCAAACAATGAACAAATGAAATTTCCTGATTAATTGTGAACTACATCTTGCCTCTTATGCCAGGTGCAAAAAGGGGGTGCCTAGAGGTAGGACTAGACATCTGGGAGAACGCAAGAGAGTTCACTGTCTACTTGTACACAAGCTCCAATTCTCTAAATCATCATGAGTGCTCCTGCCTGGGTAACTGTCATTGTGACTGTGCATGCTACTGTGCTCACGCTCCTGTTTCCGTGGGAAAGAGGCGCTGTTTTTCTGGCACTAAGAATTAAGAGCACATACTTGGTCAATAATGATGGTACAAGCAATTTTGTTTCTTTGCATATCCAGTATAAGTCAGACCTTTCACAATAAGCTTCACTGGTATTAATGTTCTGACATAGGGACTTATCCATAAATTATTTAAAATGGCGTGGTTAATGATTTTCAGTAAAATACACCATAGTGATTTTTATTTCTTATTGCTTAAGGGCAATTTATTTTGAAATGTTGCTTTTGTATTATTTGCTTTCTGGCAACATACTGAACACTTGTTTTCAAAAGCTTCCTTTCAAAAGTGGCACAATGCTATCCACCATCCATCTTCAGGCCTTTCTGCAAGGTCATCTGATGTGAGTTTCTAGTAATACTCTGGTGCATTCACTTCTTCTGGAAGAGCAACTGGTACAACTACCCCCTGCCGGTGCAGCTCTCGGAGAACATCTAATATTGAGTCTAATTCTGTGCGGAATTTATCCAGCTCACGATTCTTCAACTGTGCGAGCCTTTTCCATTTTTCAATTTCTTTGTTTTGTTCAGTTTCTACAACTTGGTGGGTCTGCTGTATTATCTGTAAAAAAGAAAAGTTCCATATTATGGTTATAGCTTACAGTGGGGGTGAAGAACATGTAATAATCTCAGTTAGCCTACGGTAAACCAGTGAGCTGCATGTCAGGGAGAGAGAGCAGTGCATGTCTTACCCCGTGGGCTCAACTGAGACAATACACAGGGTTGTAGGTGGACAGCACATTCTGATTCTGATAGGGAGTTAGGAATTTTACAGGCTTTTATTTTTTTAAGTTGTGAATTAAACAGTGCTTTTTAAAAGCAATATGAATTTCTAATATCTTGGCACTTCAAATGCAGTCAAGACAGTTTTTAATACACAACACACAGCATCAGTGAAGCAAACATAGCAGTAGAAATGATGATAAAGCCCACACGCAGCATGTCTCAAATGGCAGCCTGTTTTAAGCCTACGACTTTACACATGTTTACCATATTTAATCCTACCAACATATGGGATAGATATTTATTCCCATTGATCAGATCAAGAAATGGGGCACAGATAAATGAAAAATAATTTGCTCAAGGTTTGCACATAACATACAGAGTCAGGATTCACACCTAGGCAGCCTGGCCTCAGAATTCCTGCTCGTAAGTAACACAACAGACTGCCTTGCAAATGTGAGTCAATTTAGCCAATTGTGAAGCCAGAATCCCCTGTTGAGTAACTTGTAAGACAGTTATTAAAATTTCAATATATCTCATGAGGAATCATGAGTTTATAACAATCATTATAAACCCCAGAAAGTGAGATATACAAAACCCACCAGCTAGGGCAAAAAAACCAATGATATGTCTAAGTATTAAACATGCTGAACCCCTCCATGATTATTTATAATTCTGCTTAGTTATAGATTAACTTAATAATTTAAGAAAATCCAGAAATATGTAAGAAGGTACTTAAGGGGAAACCAAAATGCTGTGTGAATTTTCAGTTCTAATATTTAAATACTATACTTTGAAGATTTCGGATGTCTACTACACAATGAAATTTGGTATTTAAAAATTTTCCAGTTTTAAGATACAATTGATAGAAAAACATTGTATAAATTTAAGCTATACAATATAACATGATGTGTGTATATATTCGGTATTATTACCACCAATATGTTAGCATCCATCACTTCATAGTTTCAAAATTGTTTCCTTGTGTTCAAAATGTTTAAGGTCTACTTTTAGAAGACCTTTCAAATATACAACAGAGTATTGTTAACCAACTTAACACTTTCTACATCACCTCACCAGAACTGATTAGTTTCTACTAGAAATTTTGTGCCTTTTGATTACTTTCACCCAATTTCCCCACACCCACCTGTGCCTCTAGCACAATCTGATCTGTTTCTATGAGTTGGGTTTTTTAGATTACACATACAAGTAAGATTATACAGTAATTGTCTTTGACTAATTTCACTTAGCACAATGCCCTTAGGGTATATCCACATTGTGCAAATAACAAAATCACCTTTTTATTTAATGGCTAAATACTATAGCATTGTGTGTCCAGTGATGGACACTGAGATTGTTTCTGTGTCTGGGGCATTGTAATGTTTATGGTTGTGAGGTTATCCCTTTGGGATAGTGATTATTGTTTTCTGGTACATACCCAGAAATGAAATTGCTGGATCATTTGGTAGTTGTTTTTAATCCTTTAAGGAAATTCCATACTGTTTTCTATTCCCCAAACAGTGCACAATGTTCTAAAACCCTCACCAGTACTTATTTCTTTTCTCTGTAAAGACAGTTATTCTAATAGGTAAGAAGTGGCATCTCACTATGGCTTTGATTTGCATTTACCTATTATTTGTGACGCTGAACACCTTTCCATATAGCTGATAAGTCATTTAAAATTCACCTTTGGCCTTTTCCTTTTTTTAATTGGATTATTTTTACTACTGAATTGTTTCTTAGATATTTTAGCTATTAACGCCTCATAAGATATGTGGTTGCATAACTGCTAGCTGGTCTTCCTGTGAGAGTGACTGAAAGTAGAACAATCCAGGTTGCCATCTTGATGCTAATCTATTACTTCACATGCTGTGTATGAAACTGAAACCATCACTTTCTCTGTAAACCAAGGATGTCCTAAATGTCCTACTACATATTTTCTAAGTAAATAAAGCAAATTTTATAAACTGTATTTAAATAATATATCAAGGCTTTTAAATAAATATAAACCAATATAATTTTTTTTAAAGATTTACTTTTTATTTATACAATAGCTGGGATACAGGCCAGAGGCTCGGGAGGGTGAGAGGATTCACCAAAGACAGAATGGGGAGCAGAACAGGCAGACAGACCGAAAAGTACTGCTGAGGGGAGCAGTGGGAGCGACATACCATGTGGGAGTCTCCCTGGCTGGCCAAGAATCGAGCCTGCGCTGCAGAGGCTGCAGACAGCTTCACAGCGCTGTGCTCAACCCGCTGCACCACCAGGGAGGCCCAACCAATATAACTGGTACATTACATACATAACAAAATAATTTGTCATAAGGTTGTAATACAGCATGTGCCTATAACAGGTAAAGAAGCAAATATTTAACATATTTACTAACAACTTACAACCATTTTCTAGAACAGGCATATTAAGTAATTTATATGGGAGTGTTCTGAGCTACAGCTGGTTGATTATGGCTGATGGTTTTGTGGTTTATAATGTTTTTAAAGAAGTTCAGATAAAAATTGTTTAAGAATGAGAAATCAACTATATCAATATTTTTGTCTTCCATTTCATACTTCTTAGTTCCTATAAGGATAAAGAGCTAGAACCTTGATATGATTAAATAGAGCTCAAGTTTCTCTATGGGAGTCAGGTCAGCCATAAAGTGTTACAAGTTTGTTGGTTTTTTAAGAAAGTAAACATACGTTTGTATGTATTTATATGATCTAACCTGCAATGTGGTGCATTTGAACTAAGGAACTAATTAAGGTTAAATGAGGTCATAAGGATAGAATCCTGATGAGACTAAATTGGTGTCCTCATAAGAAAAGATGGCAGGCCAGGCAGCTCTCTCCTCTGTAACGCCTCTTCCCCCACCCCACAGTGCACACACACAGAAAAGGCCACCTATAAGCTGGGAAAATAGTTCTTACCAGAAGATGAATCAGCTGGAACCTTACCTTGGACTTCTAACCTCCAAAACTGTGAGAAAATACATTTCTGTCTTTTACGTCATACAGTCTATATTTTACAGTGGCAGATTCAAGCAGACTAACAGACTGTTCAAGCAAAGTTAAGTATCTATACATCATAGCCTTCTGCCATTTTTATTTCTCTGTAAATAAGTATGGTAATTTCAGTATTGGTGCTAGGTATATAATATTTAAATGATCAGGGGCCTCCCCGGTGGCGCAGCGGTTGAGCGCTGGGTTGCGAAGCTGCCCGCGGCCTCTGTGGTGCCGGTTCGATCCCCGGCTGCTCCCCGGCCACCGGAGGAGGGGCCCACATGGCGCGCAGACCTCTCCTGCCGCCCGCTGCTCCCCTCAGCAGTGTGCTTCGGTCCTTCTGCCTGCTCTGTTCCCCGCTCTGGTGAATTCTCTCACCCTCCTGCGCTTCTGACTGTACCCAGTGCTTGTATAAATAAATAAATAAATCTTAAAAAAAAATATTTAAATGATCATTTTAGTGTACATTTACTTCTTGTAAAAATTTATTGAAGACCTGAATATGGAACCTTGATCTCTAAACCGTTTTCCCAGGGTAAAATATATAGCTTTTTAGGCACCCATGAATAATTAACAACACAATATAGTTTCGTTTCTCAATTTCTCCAGATATAAAGTAAAAGTCTTTTCTCTTTAAAGCTATATATTTATAATGAAATCAAAATACAATGGGAATAAGTTTTGCTAGGGATGACAAAGCTACAGCAAGTAAGGGGTACTTAAAAGTGAAGAATTAAATATGTAAGCATGATTTACCACTTTACCTGTTGAAGTTCCTGTTCTCTTTGCTCATGTCTCATTTCCATCTGTTTAATTTTCTTTTCTAACCCCATGAAATGTTTCATCTCTGGTGTATGGTTTTCTTTGGCTTCTTTCAATTCTTCTAAGAGTTTTGTAATCTAAAATTGAGGTATGAAGTAAAGAACTATGATCAAACAAAATATTTCATTTTTAACAGGTAGTCTTCAGAGGCAAGAATATTCAACACATCTTATATAAAATTTCTCTAGGTAAGTGGCATCTTAACAACAAAGCACCAGTTTAGTGTTTTCATTCCCTATATCTAGGAAGTTAAGGCTCATCATAGTTTAAAGCTGACCTCACATTCCAAAAGTTTCCAGATGATTGGGCCACTTTCTGTCTCCCAAGCATGCCAACCTGGTAGTGGCACTCAAAATGAGGGTGGCAATTTCTTTGTTGCATTCGGCTTTGCTACAGGTATTAATAGGGTCATTATATTTAGATTTGAACAATACATTTAAAGCACCTAACACAGTATAGCTCCCATCACATAGAAAGAGTTCAATAAATATGAACACTTCTTTTGTCAACTCCCTATAATTCTGTTTGTAATTCTCTTTTGCCTTTTATCACTGCTAGAGTAATTCATTCCACAAACAAATGTATATAAAATAGAGATATGAAGTATAGGATTCCTCTGTGCTGGCTGCTGTCATATTGGGTTGTTGGAAAAGTCATGACATATTTTTGCTTGAAAAACATAGAAAAAATACGTCATGACTTTTATGACAACCCAACAGGTTTCTTGAGGATACAGAAATGAAAGACGATGTCTCTTCACAGAGGCTTACAGTCTATTACAGAACCATTTTCATACAATGGCTCACAGAAAACACAGTAATACTTTTAAGCACTATGAAGTGGAGGGGATTTTGAGGTACCTTTAGATTAGACTTGGTAAATAATTAATTGCATTTTCTTTATACCATTTTTTTAACTGTTAAGAGCAAAGATAATAAAAGGCAAATGAAAAATATTAACATAAGTTTCATATGTAAACACAATACTAAAACCATCATACTCTTCCTAAATTAGTTAAAAAATGTGAAAATACAAGAAAATTAAATCGGAGGCAAATCTAAACATTTTAAATGTGGAACACCCTGATATCACCAGTGATCAAAGGAATGTGCAGACTTTGAGGTCATGGGCAGAAAGGCCAGAGAGACCGTGTGTGCGACAGGTACTAAGCATGAAAATCTTATGTGACCAAACAATGAGTACTAAAAGTTATATAAAAAAAGCACTTTACATTAAAAAAAGTGAGAAGCACAGTCATATACATACTGGTCAAATATCACTTCAACTTCTATGATTTTTAGTTACTCATTAAACAACATTTCCAGTCATCATTATCTTGTGACAGCCACAGGTACCCCATTCCTGTTGTACAAGTCAGGAAGTTCTGGCCAAGTGAAAGCAGCAGCTGAATGAAGGAGAATTCAAACAGAGTGTGCTACAAAGGAGCCCAGCCATAACCTGAGAAGCTGTGTTTGAACAGAGTCTTAACAGATCAGTGGTGAGTAGGTGCTATGCTAAGCATTTTACAGATACCGTCTCAGTTAATTTTATTCATCAAACCTTACATTTTGACTCCTCAAATGAAATGTAAGCTCCACAAGAACAGGGCAAGGCCTTCAGATGTTTTAGTTATTACTCTTTCCCAAAAGCCTGTACTAGTAATTGATACCTGCGCATTAAATATCTGTTGAATGAAGAATGCTAAGAAGGAGAACTTATCGTTAAGAAACCCAAGGCAAAAAATGTTTAAACATACTAGCAAGTGGCCCCAGGGGAAGAGTAGATACCATTCATCTTCCATTTGTAAGAAAAATGACCTTGTGTTAACTTCTAGCCCTGTTTCCATCTCACAAGAGAGGGGAGTCAGCCATCTATCAGGTACACTGACTGTGGTCAGAATGCCCCTGACTGATGGAATCATCTAGGCTAGGAGGCCTTTGTAGGAACTGAAATGCTTCATTACTGGTTTGGACAGTGACTCTTGTATTGGTATTTCCTTGTGGAATCACTGTGCATGAGTTATTCTAAGAGACGCTGGTTCTCATGGAGCATGGGGTGTCTGAGCCTGGGTGGTTCCTCCAGCTGCCAGATGTCTTACTCCCCTTACCTGTGCAGCTGTTAGAATTGCAGTGAGACCTGTTTGCATTTAAGGGAAATTCTTGAGGGTGCCTAGCCAACATGCTGTTTCCTGACCTGTATCGAGAGGAACAAGTATGACCTATGGTCTCACATGACTCCAGGTGTTTACTGGAACTTACTAGAAATCCTGATAATGGCAAATCAAGAATTTAACTCTAGATCTTACCATAAATTCCATGATTATTCCACTATTCATTCATAAAATAACAACATATAGCTGTAGAACAATTCAGATAAATCATCACGATTTTGATTATTTTTATGAATGGCCATAATAGTCCCTGTGCTTATAGTTAGAGATCAGTCTTAAATGCTTCTAAACTACTTAGAGTACTATACAGATTAAAAACAAAAAAATTCTTGATGAGAAAGAATCTATGACTAGTCAAAGGCAAATACTAACTGCAGAACAGAAAAAAAAAAGTGTCATTCCTCTCAGTTATCTCTAGGGAGTCTGAATAAAGATTAAAGTTTATTCTCTACATTTTCAGGGTACAAGAAAATAAATGAACAGAAGATAGTCAAACAGGATGGAAAAATAATATTAAAAATGAAATGTGATAAGTGCTGAAACATGAAATAATAACTTTGTCATTAGAGTACTTAAAAAGGCCAAAGATTTGGGGATTACTTATCTGATATAACATGAGTTGAAAAACTGGAGGCTCAAGAAAATTTTACTGTATAGAACATGTGATTTTTAAGACTTGTGGCCTGAAAACATTTCAGGTAACAGAAGCATGGAACAAAATGCAGAATATGGGAATAGCCTTTTCAGATTCCTATGGCTGATGTGCTAGATGGTTCACTTCCCAATGACATCAAGGTATTTGCGTGACTTGCACTGCAGCATTTGAAATCATTACTGTTTTCTTATGGCTATATAAAATTTCTTTCAAATAAGCCAAGCAGTGTTTTTTCACTTGTGGCCATAAAGAGGCAGGGCTTTGCCTCCCACAGCCTTCCTTAAACAACCAGAGAAACCAATCAATATATGAAAACAATCGTTTCAACACTGCCTAACAGCAATCTTTTTTTGCAGGACTGATTCCTGCTAGAAGAGAAACAAAATGAATTCTGTAATTGCTTAGTTTGTTGCCTGGAAGCAGTTTTGAAATTGGTGGAAAGAGCCTGAACAATTCCTGGAGCTCTCACGGGGCTGAAAGGGAGAGTCTTTCACAACACACAGGCCAGCAGGGAAGGACCTCGGCAGGTAACATTAGTGGGAATACATTAGTCCTGTTAAACAGCTCTCATAAACTCTGTATTAAAAGGCATGGGTGGAGCTGGAAGGGCTAACATGAAGCAGGATTAGCCAAAAGGAGAAAGACAAATACTGGATGGTGGCACTTATCAGTGGAAAACAGAAAAATAAAAGGGTCAGATCAAACCAGAAAACTAACATTTGAAACCTGATTCTGGAATGGGGGTGACCAGAAAGGAAGGGAGGAGAACAACACAGGGAGGGAGCAGCGGTAGGTGGTGGGGGCATTCTAGCAGGGGTGTCTGAGGGGGGTCTCCCACCCTTCTCTAATGGCAACAACAATGTAAACTAGTATTAACAGACTAGGAGTAAAAAATATTTTCAAAAGGCAGATTGTCATTACCTTTACGAAGAGAGAAAATACTTGTTTCCTAGTCAACAAACGTGAAAAATTGTGTTGCAGCTTTTCTATTTTCAAAATAAACTCAGAACGCTGTAACTTTGAATAAAATGGATTTTACTCTGTATCTTGCAAGCATGAACACATACTTTCTTTCACTGACTTTTCCTAAAAACTAACTTTAGGTTTGTGCGGTTCTATAAATTTATTGCTTATGTAACAGTTTATGTATATCCCCAAACACCTAAAGGAATGCACAATGCTGAACTGTAGTCAGATTCTCTCCATTTTGCAAAAAAAAACAAAAAAAAAAACAACAAAAAACCACACACAAAAAAACCCCCCTCAGACTAAAAATTAGAAATAAGAGGAATTAAACCTTAAGCACTCTTTTCCTCCCTTTCCCCTAGACCCCACCCCTTGTGATTCTCCCTATGCTCTGCTCTCTCCTTATGATTAACTGTTAACGTGCTCCAGTGGCATTTCTCAAAATTTGGAATTGTGTTATATCCTTGGTAAAAATTATCTGTGCCTCTAAGGTGGATAGTGGCACCAGAAACAAACATCTGCTGATTGCTAAGGAAACCTGCTAGGAAAGTCAAATACCTTGACTCATGTGAACTAGATTGCCCAGTACCTCCTTAGACTTGGCAATACAAAGCTCAACCCGTCCCTCACATTCCATCCTCCTATAATCACAGCACTCCCGCCATTCAGGGAGCTAACCCTGAATGGTAACTGACTCCCTTGGTGGCCATCTCTTATAATAAACTCCACACACAGACATTCTCATAGATCAGCATTGGGCTGTCTGGGCAAAAGCAAAAGACCTGGTTTGGTCATTTACATTTTTACATTAATCTTTTCATAATGCAATCAGTTGTACGTTTTGCTTCTGTGATTTTATAAATCTGAATTAAAAATGCTTCCCAGAACAGGATGCACAGTTTACCTGTTTTTTCCACATTTGGGTCCAAAGGACAGTGCAGTAATAAAAATGGTGACTTTCCAAGACCTATTTTCTTGGGATGATATTGTTACTGTTAATCCAGCAAGACTGCCATAGTTGCTTTACCTACTACCAAAGTTTTGGTACTTAATACAGAAATGGCCTTACCCATGCAATATTACCTCCTAAAAAATCAAAGAGAAGGACCTAACAACCCTCTCCATTTCCCTACTACTCAGAAAATTCCAAGAATACAGATAGTGACTATATGAGCTTCATCTGGGAAGCAGACTTTCTACAAACAAGTTTATATCAATATTTTCCTGACACGTGATAGGTTGTGTTAACCAGTACATATAAGCAAAAAAAAAAAAAAAAAAAAAAGGTTGAAAAAGCTAAGAAAAACAAACTAGCCCAATATTTAGTCCAGTATTTACCTCTTTTTGTAGGACTTCTTCTCGAACTTGAGAAACTGCAAGAGACTCTTGTTTATCCTTCAGTTCATTAACTTGTTTTTGGAAATGTTTTAGAAGGACCTAGGAAATTGTTTTAAAGTTACCAAATTAAAAGCTCTTCCTTGAACATTATTTGAAAAATACAAGAAAGTCAACAGACGACTTTTTTTGTACTAAAAAAAGGATCCTGATATTTTAACATTACCAAATTGTAACACAAATTTCCACAGAAATTGTTCATTGAATTAATAAACTCACTGAATAAAACTCATTGAATAAGTTCACTATTTTGTTTCAACATTTAATACAAAATACCACATATATTACAAATTAATTACTTCTGTAACTAATTGGCTTCTTTATTCTGAAGGTCTAAAAAATGCACTATAAACTATAAAGTCTAAGCATCTTGAAGACAGTGGCCAATATTACCTTTATATTTTGTAATTAAGTAGGATAGATTTTATTAAAGTGCTATTGACTAAATAAGATAACATGAGCCTAAAAGTATCTGAAAATGTCAGTCTCATGTTTTTAGACAAACTGAAATTTATAAAAACTTAGGAAAAATCTCTCTTATTTCTAATGCCTTTTTTAATAATCAAACTATGCTGATTTTGATTTAATTCAAAATTTACAATGTGACATTTAGAACTCTGGGAAAATAAGTATTTATGTAGGCATCCCCAGTGGCGCAGCAGGTTGAGGGCCACGCTGTGAAGCTGTCCACAGACTCTGCAGCGCAGGTTCAATTCCTGGCCGGCCAGGGAGAAACCCACAGAGGTCGCGGCAGACCTCTCCTATCTCGCCTGAGATAGGAGCACCTGAGATAGGGGAGCACCCCTCTGCAGTGTCTTTGGTCCGTCTGCCTGAGATAGGGGAGCACCCCTCTGCAGTGTCTTTGGTCCGTCTGCCTATTCTGCTCCCCTCTCTGTCTCTGGTGAATTCTCTCACCTTCCCATGCCTCTGACTGTACCCCAGAGTTCTTATATAAATAAATCTTAAAAAAAAAAAACAAACTTCTGATAGTCTTTAAAAAAAAAATTATGTATTTATGGCATAATGACATTACTCTTCTCTCTCTTAGACTGACTGTCCCTACTGTGTCATCATTTGATATAGTGCTGACACTGCCTAGTGACACCCTGTTCCTATGGTGGAAAAGTCAGAGGTTATCTGCTACTAGGTTGTATGAATAGTTACTTTGAAAAGCACTTTAAATATTTTTCATTAAAATATAAAAACAGAGGTCTTTGTTTCTGAGCTATTTGAAATTAAATTACAATATTTTTATACTTCATTCTTAAAATACCCCTTATATACTTCATTTTCTTACAAGACCAGTCATTTTATACCTAGGAAAGTTTAGAGTGATTTAGTATAAAATCCAATCCATATTCAAACTTTTCCAATTGAGGGTTTTATTTTTAATTAAGAGGCTACTAAATAATGGTGGGAGTGAATAATTATTCCTTGATGTTTTTCTTTCAGTTGGTTTCTAAAAATTAAAACCTACAGAAAAGTGATGAGTATCAAAAAATAGTCACAGACCCTTCAATTTGATTTAACTGCTAACATTTTGCCATGTATTTTCTTTTTCTTTTCTTTTTTTTTTTTGCTTTTCATGGGTATACCATTTGAAAGTTGCAGGAAAATTTCTATTTTAATGCTTTTCACCAAGGTCAAATACCATAGAACGAGGGCCTGATATCTAATTCACAGATACTCCAGGTAGAGACACATTTATCCAAGAAGACTCATCTGAGGAAATTCAGATGAGCTATCTGCTCACCCTATCATTCTCTAAGTATGCTTCTTAATGGCTAGCGTTAGGTATATTTTATCCTCAGTGCCTGGCTGTCTATAAACCCTGAGTCATTTGTTTAAGGAATGAACGGTAATAGGGCAGGAAGAATGACTAGGCTAATAAAAATAATTAGTTGGGGCTTAGCTGAAGGGAGATGGTTCAACATTCAAGTACTCACATCTTAATCCCATTAGCTATATCCCCCAACCATCCTTTTCCACTTGTTCAAGGAACAATCCATTAGCAAAATGTAGGGACAAGCCTACAAAACCACTAGAGACTAATTTTAAATAGCACAAACATATGGTAATGGCATCCTCTCCTATAAAAGAAATCAAGCCCACAGTAATTTCCCATTTCTATCACCAACCTCAAAAAATGAAGTTATTTCCAAATTAAATAATATTCTTTTAACAGTTCCACAAAAGAAATCAAATTGAAGGCAAAGGAAGTCATTTACCTCTTGAGATGCTATTTTACGATTTAGTTCTGCTACTTTGGAAGAAGAATTTTCTACTGCATTTTGGCAAAGGAGTAGCTCTATTTCTCTCTGATGAGATGCTTTAAGAGATGCGATGTGTGCTGCAGTATCTTCCTTGACCCTTTTAATGCAAATGAGAAAAAAACCCACGAATAAAAGTGGCTCTTCAACCTCTAACTCAGAGTTAGCACAAAAATAGTGTAACAGGTCTGGGAATTAAAGTAGCAAAGGGTGAGGGGGCACAAATGTTTTCTGCTTTATGTGTTTTTGCCTTGAATTTTTTCAACCACTCCAAGAGCTCACTATTATCGACTAAATTTTATAAAAGCAAACCTGAATTTTGGAAATAGTGAGGTACCTGGGGGGATCCCAAGATCAGCACAGCTGGGATTCAAGCCCAGCAGAGTGGGATCTCAAAGTCTGGGCCTTTCACAGTATTCCTACTCTGAGGAAATCCAAGGTCCTCTATGTTCTGTTTAGATTTAAAGCAAAGGGCCTGTATTTAATCTCTTAAACTCAGATTTTTTTGTCCAGATTCTTATTTATTCAAATAATTGGAATTATTTCCTTTAAAATCTCTAATGCTTTGTCTCTAGGCAATAGTTACAGGTTTTTGGCCCATCATATGACTTTAGGGCTAGCTTGTGAAAATAAAATGTTCTTTATGGTAATTCTTAGGACACAGGATAATATGCATCTTATTAATATGCACCATTCAATGTGACAGACTAGTTATCGGTCTGACAAAATATATATATTCAGAGGCGGCTTAATAAATGCAAAGTTATGACTGAAGAGTTGATACATTTCTTAGAGATAAACATTTCCTCTTATTCAAAATAAAAAATGACAGAATTTCAAAGCAGAAAACCCTGTTGATATTAATCACACAATTTAATCACTGTCGACATATTAATATTGCAAATCCCAAACTATAAACACATTTATTAGGTGCTTATTTGAATATGCTGACAAATACTCAATATTTGAATGCAGAATACTCATACAGTATCCTTATTTCTTCATGGAAACGGTGTGATTAGGGTCCAAGGAAAAACAAAAATCTAAAGCACTCATGACGTAAGTGAACTAATGTAAAGAAAAACCTAAATCTGGGGCTTGGAAACATTGTGCTTTACTTTGCAGGCCTAGAGTTGTCTGAGAAACAGACTAATAATACAAAAAAATTATAAATTATGTATAGGAAAACTTTTAGGAAAAATCTGAATTTTAAATTACTTCCAGAAAAGAATGTGGTCCTTTCCAAGTAGCTTCATTGCTACAATCACATTCACGACTAAAGGAACAAGATTTCAATTAGGTAACAACGTAGATGCCTTATGACTCAACCAGATGTGGTGGTCAATCAATCACCTAGCATTTGTTAGGGGCTTCCTATGCTCATTCTACACCTACTCCGGGTTGCAGAAGAAGCCGCATCTTACGTAAGTTCTCAGGAGCTATAGTAGGGCAATGTGTGACTAGTGCTTTCTTGGTATAATAAGTTGCACAGGAGTTGGAGGTGGAAGCAGGAAATTTCCTGGGAAGCTCCAGAATATATTTCAAGGAGGACTTGAAACATGAATAAGTAAACATGAATGAGTAAAAGTGAAGAAATTCAGCACATTAGGCCCATAGAGTAACATAAGAATGATGATGGACTTGAGATGTAGGTAATTTACTTGATACTTCAGAAAGTAGGTAGAGGGCAGAGTGACGAGATATAGGCTTATTTAAAGAATATTAATGTCTTAAAAGCAAGATGACTGAAGGAGACAGAAACTAAATCAGGTCAGTCAGGGTGGAGAAATCATCTACAGTAAGAAGAAATCAGAATAACAAATGTTTATATGGATGCACCCCATAGACTTTGAACCCAAGGAATAAAGGAAATAAAGCTGGGCCTGGCAATTGAAAAAATATATAGACTGGAATGAGGAAGTTGGGAAGGGGAGATAAAATGGAGGCAAAATTTGGCATACATTATTTATTCATGAGGAATAATCCAAGAGTCAGAGGTGTAACATCTGAGCTCAGGGAAGAGAATAAGCTTGAAAAGTAAATTTAGGAGTCATGGTTCACAAAAACTGAGAAAGAAAAGAGAATAAATAGAAAGCAAAAACTGAACCTTGAGAGAAAGTCAGAGTTTTGAGGAGGGAGAATGAAAAGGAGACAGGAACCAGTTAAGAGGCACAGAAAAGGAGTTTTTAGTTAGAGTTGCCTCGTCATTAAGGTTAAAGTAGGCAATTATTACATGAAAGCGAGCAACGCTGACATTTTCAGGGACAATAAGGATGGAGAAAACTCTACCAGATTGGGAAAGGTCCTTACTGAGAGACCGGTTTTAAAAGTGGTGGGCATAACAGCCATATTTAAGAGGAACTGAAGAAGAAATAAAACAAGAGGCTACTTGAGGGAAAACTGGTACCTGTGAAAAATTACCTTGGAAGAGGGGACCTTCCCCTCTTAATTTTCAACTAGTTTTAATAGAAGCTGTTCTCAAAACAGTATCTACCTATGGCAATCAATGATGACACTCATTTTCACAAAGGCTCAATGGGTGAGGAACATATTAAACACCACTTAGATACAGGAAAAAGACAAGATGGGTCGGTCTAAACACATGGTTCGAGTTGACGTGGAGGTTCAGATATTGGGCTTCCAGCAGGCAGAGGATCCCACTGACAGAGAGCTATGCTCAGCAATGTAACACGATTTCTTAAACTTCCATTACGCATTCAGTTCAGGGCTAACCTAGCTACACAGGGGAAATACACCTTATAATTTTTCGATTTTTATCTTTTTACAAACTGATATTTACAAGCCAATATTTTACCTTTTCATGGAATTTTCAAATTGGTTCATTGTTGCTTCATATTTCTTCTTCAGCTCATTCCTCTCCACACCTAATGTCTCTAGCTCAGTTTTCAATCTGCAGTTTTCCTGCAAAACCTCTGAAATACGGGAATCAGTAAAAGTTTGTGGTTGGTAAAGCTTGCCATTCAAGGTTCCAGGGAAGGAGTTAGCATTTCTTTTACCTGTGTGCAAAACATCTTTCTTCACCCTTTTTGCAGTCATTTCCTCTTTACCTTTGAGGTTCTGATTAGATAACATTATTCTTCTCTCCTTCTGAAGTCTCTCCACAGTTTTCGAAAGATCTTGTATTTCTCTCCCTTTTGCAGCCAGCTCTTCATTCAGCCTTACCAGTTTAGCTTTAGTATGAGCCTGTTCCACCTGGAATTCTATAGACTGGAAATCTTTATCATCTTTATCATTGTTCTTGAGTTCTAGTTCAGCATTCTGATGTTTAAGAACATCTATTTCAGCTTCAAGATTTCTTACAGTGATTTGATGGGCTTCCTTAATGTCGCTGATTTCCTTCTCTAGTGCTTTAACCCTGGAGTTGTCCTGGGGTGCTTCTTTCAATTTGCAGGCAAGTAACTGCTCCTGCTCCTCCAATCTCTGTTCATATTGAATCTGAAGAAAAGAACACATATAATGCCAAGACCCCTATTTAAACATTTCATCAGTTACAGAAACTATGCATTCTACCAAGTCCTCCCTCTTCCTTTATTCAGGAACATATCCTATGTTCTGAACCTCCAACTCTGCGTTTCCTGAGATGGTTGAAAATACATGAAGTTCTAATCTTTGAAAAGCATAACATACAGTCTTAATTTTTGTGATATAATTTCATAATCTTGTCTTATAAACATTATACATGTAATTATTGTAAGCCTCAAAATCAAGCCTAATATGATCTTTCTCTATGCAAACTGACAAACTACACCTCTGCAAGAACAAACAGGTAAAGCAATAAAGCAACAAGGGTACTGAAGTCTTTGAGAAATAGCACATTTTTGACTACCTAGTATCAGTTTAGAAATCTTACAGGGAATAAGCTTGGAATTTATATACTCAAGCTTTAGTATAAATAACTAACTAATGCTTCTGAGGGTCTATTCCTCTTCCAGGAGGATACCATGGTGATTAAAGCCAGAATAGTCTCAGCCATCATGAAGAGCAGAAGCTAGAGGGGAGAGCAATCATGGATGATCAATCCACATGGCTGTAAAGGTAGTGGATGCTATGAAGGAGAGATGCATGGAGCTAGCGGTGTCTGCAGAGGTAATCTGTCTACCAGGGATTCCAGGAAAGATTTCACTGGGAAACTGCTTGGGTTGAGAGCTGAAGGGCAGGAACTCACAGACTGTGAACGAGGGGAGCAGAGCATACAGGTCAGAGGCAACGGAGTGCAGGCACGCTGCAGAGATATTGCAGGCTCACAATATGCCACAAAAATGCCAATGTCTCAATAACAAGTCACACGAATTTGAGTTGCCTGGCACAATATTTAAACACAACCTTAATTAAAAGTACTTTATTGCTAAAAATTGCTAACCATCATGTGAGCCGTCAGCAAATGGTCATCTTTTTATTGGTATCTTGTAAAAAAAAAAAAAATGCAGTTATCTGTGAGGCACAATAAAGCAAAGCATACTAACACAACTTTATGTGGACATAGGAAACACAGCAAGAAGAAACAGGGCGGTGTTAACAGGTTAGATGAAATGGGGCATGAGAAAACACGGGAGGAGGAGAGTCCTGGCCTTATATTTATCATAAAAGGAATAGGAAGTCATTGAGGGGTAAAAACAAAGGTGTGTGTGTGATAAGACAGAGATGTAAAAATACAATTTTGACTCTAGTGTTGTGCTGGTTAGTGGATGGGGCGAGGTGGGTGTGTGTAGACCAGTCAGGAGGTTATTGAGGTAATCACCCATTTTTATTAATGATGGTAGTAGAGTGACATGCTGATACAGAGAGGAATTAAAAGATACTTAGGAGCAAAGTGGCACTAAATCTCTTTTACATTTGAGGTAACTGAGGCTGGGAGGTTAAGTAACACAAATCATGAAACTAATGGTGAAACGGGGCCTAAACTGAAGGTTGGCCTGAAGCCTGCTGTCTGTGATGGTGCAGCCTGTCAATATATAGGAGGCAGGGTCTGCTGGAAGTGGGGTGGGGGCAAGATGAACTTAATGGAAGGTTTGCCTACTTAGGGGGATGGCAGCAGGAACTGAGCCTTGGGCTTCCAAGCAGCACAGAGAATTCATGAGGTTGGATGTCTGCTCATCTATGGCAGCTCTGCCCTCACAATGGAACCATGTCCTTCACAAGCACAGAGCTGAGTACAGGAGTGAAAAGATGGGTAAACCAGAGCAGAGGGCAAGTGAGCTGGGTGATTAGAGGAGTACACCTTGGAATTTAGGATCTTGAGAGAAGAAAGTGAACCTGGTAGGAGGTAGAGAGATTTGAAGAAGGGTAGAGTAAAGGAGACCCAACCTCTGTGATACGACCTTTGACAGCAGGTCAGTCTATATCCAGATTTTCAATCTTTTACTGTTTCTGAACTCTAATATTCTGTTTGCTGCTACTCTCAGGACAGAAATATTTGGCAAAGAGCTCTGCCTTTTAGAAAAACAGTGGCTTTGAGACCTTGTTCTGTCACTCATAGCAGAACCTTGGGCATGACATACACTTTTGAAGATAAATTCCCTTATTGTAAAATAGGATGACATTGTCTATTTCTCACAGGTAATTAGAATTGCACAGGATGAGCTATCTGTGATAGCAGCAAGAATTACTGCAGGGACCATGTGCTCAACACATTTTTAAAAGTAAATTAAATATCATGTCTTGTTTTATACGTGATCATGCTGTTTCTTGTATTTCCTGAATCCGTCTTTTTTGATGAAGGATCGGAAAACTCAGAAATTAAGACATTTCTAGCAGACATTACTCTGCCTCTTACTCTGTCAATACATTCTTCTGTCTCATTTCCTCTCCTTTCTCTAGATAAATTTTATTGAAAATATTTTCAACTCATTAAAAAACAATTCTATATTGAATACATGTCAGATATTTTATACTGCCTTTTCATGACTTAATTTCTATTAGGCTTAACATTGAGAGGCAATTAATGTACAGATAATTCTATCATTATTCTGCATTTGAAATAAAGAAAATTTGCTAAATGAAGGAGGACAAAAAGATAGGATGGATCTTCTGCATCCACTGATTCTCATGATAAGGTTTTGTGGGAAAAGATGTTCAGAGCTATTCGTTATATGAGATCTCAAGTCCCCAGCCTCCAGTCCATTCTGAGCCTCATGGCGACCTGATACTTACTTTCATTTTCTGAAACTGTTGTTCCATGGTACGAAGGCTTTTTTTTGCTTCTTCATCTTTGCCTTCCAGATCAGCTTCTAGCTTTTTAATCCTTTTTTCCATAAATTCTACTGTATTTCTGTCCACTGTATCACCAGCTGCTGATGCAGCCAGTATTAAAGCAGGTAAAGAATTGGGATATCTTCTCTTTAGAATTCCTTCCATTTCCTTAACCTATTGAAATATTTTTGTATCTATGTAAGGTCACAAATATAATGAGCTTAATGTATAAACTTACACATTACTTTTGTAAAATAAAGTCATGTCCAGGTTTTAAATGTTTACATCACATCTCAAGACTGAAGGTTGCATGCATATTCACAGATGTATCATAAATTAGAATATATGGGTAAATATTTATAAATTAGTTCATCTGCAAAATTTTCAAAGCTTTGCTTATTCTGGTATGAAAAATCTAGTTATTTGCATTAAATATAAGCATATGCAGGTATATACTATATACATGCACATAAACACCAGGTATATTAAAAAGAGAAGATCTAAACTTAAAAAAATTTAACATATTCACAAGTAATACATTGGTTTAAAAATTCAAGAAATATTTTCAATTTAATTTTGGCCTATTGAAATGTATACTTTTTGGGGAAAAAATTAATTTTATTTATATTTTCTTTAAGTGTTCTTTCAATATTATCCTTTGGTCACTGAAAACATTGCTGTTATACAAAGGAAATGTTTAATTCTCTTTAACTCTAATTATGAACCATTACCTCTCACTATGAAATAGTCCACTAAATGGAAGCATGAATGAATGTATATAATCTGAACTTCTCATTATAACACGTACCTAATAAGCCTCATTTTTACTTTTGTGCAATTCAGGAAAGGAGATATTTTATTCCATATTTAATCTATTAAAAATATGGCTCCAAAATGGCTCTGGTTATACTGGCATATAATTGTATTACAAAATATTTATTAAAATTTAAAATAAGGACAGAAATGGTGATAGAAGCAGAATTTTTAAAATCTGAAATGTAAATGTAGCAAACTATAAAATACTACTAAATGAGGAAAGATGTGTTAGATATCATCTAGATATTTCAATAGACTTTTAAATAAAGTGCTAATAAAAGATGTTTACTTTTATAAAGCATTCAATTTCTGGTTAACATGTATCACCATTTCAAGTCTTAATTTTGCTATTAGGCATGCTTTATTTTTTTACTCTTACACATTCAGTTCTACATTCTTTCTCTTTAACCTAATAAAGACACAGTTCCTTCGGTCTTTTCACTCTTACAATTCTGGATGGCTTCTACATTGTCTAATCTAAATCTTAAGCACTGAAAGAAAGCCAAGCAATCCTGGACTACAGTTACTTCAGAATATTTCTAGCCTTCAAACTACCCTTGTCCTGGTCCTTTCCTGGCCACTGAACTAAACTATTAAATCATACCTTTTAACATTAGAACAGATCCTGTAAAAGTAACAGTAAATTTTTTGCTTAGTTTTCCTTCTTCTTATAAAACTAGAAAAATATTCAACTTAGTGATGACCTCACAGTTTTGGGTCTGTGATGGAATAATAACCATATATTTAAGTGTCATGATTTGACTATAGAATCATGCTCCCTGATGAGCAGGGGTATAAATTCATACTCTAAATATTTAATTGTGGATTAAATAAATTTTAAAACAGTTTTAAAAAGAGGCAAAAGTTAACTAATAATTCCACCCCAGAAAACAGCTACTCTAATGAAAAAGTTGTTGATCTTTATAATCATTACTATGATTTTGGAAAAAGGGCTCCCAATTACACTGACCATAAAATAGTTCTAAGCCTAAATAGTGATTGAGAGTTCAAGATCATGGTCAATGGAAGCTGAATGTTCTGATTTCAGGGTGTTTTGTAAAATTTCCTAAGCATTAATAACCACTTTCCAATTCAAGGCTCTCTTTTTCAGTTCACCTCTTTCACCTATCAGGTCCGAAGAAAGAATCCTAAACTCTACACCCAGAGTATCAAAATTCTGCTTCTTAGATGTCTAACAGAGCTAGGATGCAAAATAATCTTTCATCAACAGGTCTACCATTTTATACATGAGGCATGTTGGTCTAAAAATTCTTTATGGTGGGGAAGAAGCACAATGGACTATGGTGGAAGATTATGTGCCCTTTGGTGGTGGGTGTGGTGTGGTAGTATACACCTGAAGGGGGTGATCCTATACTTCTAAATCACATACAATTTGTAAACTAATGTTATCCCCCCAAGATTCTTTATGTACAAAGCTGTATAATATGTAAAATATTTACTACTTTTATTAATTTATTTTAAATACTGTATGTATATCAAGCAAATAGGGACAGTTCTATATTAAAATAAATGATTAAAAAGAATTTCTTCCTTTTGTAAGACCTCCTAAAGCAGAAATGTAAGACCTCCTAAAGCAGAAAATGAAATTGTACTGTATATAAAATTCCTTAGTGAAAATTTACCCTTAACACATACTTGTCGCTCCAGATCCTGAATTTTTTTGGCATCAGCTGCTTTATCTTTTAAACGTATCTTCTGCTGAATAGATGGATTTCCAGATTCAGCTTTCAGTTTCTCAACCTATCAATACGAAAAGAACATGTTAGGAAGCATATTTAAAACATAAAGCACCAGGAGGGTGGCAAGCCAATCCATTCGTTTATTCAGATCCTGCACTGTGCTGAAGACACTAGGGGCAAACAAGAAAGTGAGATCCCTCTTGGTGCTTTTATGCTCCAGTGTAAGGAAAGAGCTGAAAGGCGAATATAGTAGACCAATAAGTAAAATAAATAGCTTCTGAAACTGACAAGTGCCCTGCAGAAAATAAAACAAGAGTGAAGGAATGTGAAGAGTCAGTGGGGGTGTGATTGGCAGCTGAGACTTGAAAGAGGAGTGAGACATGGAAAGAACTGAGGCCAAAGTATTCCAGGCCAACACAAAATAAATGAAACAAACCTGTATGTTCAAGAATCAGAGTGAGATGCAACATGGGCAGACAGAAGGGACTCTGGGGGAGGGTGGTACCAGAGAAGGTAGAGATAAGTAGGGGTCTGACCACATGCAGACCTGGCAGTCTGTGATAAAGGAGTTTGGCCTTATTTTCATTAACAATATAGATTTGATGACACAAAAAAACTAAGTGGAACTAATAGTTGAAAATAATGGGGTTCATCTACAGAAACATTTGAATGATCACCTCAAGTTTTAGCTTCTCAATTTCTTCATTTGCTTCTTTAAGCCGAGCTGCATCTTTATCCAGAAGTTCCTGATTTTCAGCATACCACTGTAATCTTTTCTGGAGACGACTAATTTCTTGTTTATGTGTTTCTTCTAAAATCTTTATTTCATACAATTTTTCACCTATAAGATAACTCAGTAACTTGACTGCAATTTTTCAAAACATGCAAATATGATAAATTTAAGAATTTTAAATTAAAACCAATGCCTGTCTAATGAAAGCATTATGAAAAAACAAGAGGCAAAAAAAACAACTGATATATGCAAGGTAGTATCCATTTCATTTACCAGTTAAGGGGGACAAGATTGTATTCACAATTCAAATCTTCAAACTCTTAGCAAAGTCGGCTACATAGAAATTTGGTAGTATCTTCCTGCTGACTTTTATCATAAAAGGAAAGTAGTTTCCATAGGAAAATAAATGTTGGATTCAAGAGAGTAAAAATGAAGAATGCCAACGATTATATTAAAAAGTAACAATGGCAAACATTAACTAGTGTTTACAGTGTAAGCTTTCATTTAACACAATGAGTTCTGTGATGGCTACTACTGTTACATCTTAAAGTTGAGGAAAGAAAATGTGATTTTATTATGGACAGGTAGGAATGGATTTTACTGTACATATTTTATTCACACTGATCATAACATTACACAACAAAGATCCTTACTCTGCCAAACCAGGGCTCCTCTGACTAAGTCTGGCCTGTGCTCTGCTACTGGCTGCCGATCCACAGGTGCACTCTATACCTTGCTCAAGAAACACTGTCTCCCTCCATCTTGTCACTTCTATATCTCCTCACCTGTGTAGGCCCAGTTTAAAAGCAACTCTTCCCCAAACCCTTATTCAGTACACTTGTAATTTTCCTGCATTTTAATTTTACTCTCCTTTGCTTTCCCTGCCAAGAAACACCATGTTTGTGTTTTCTACAAATACAGTGCAGTATGATTTGTGTCTTTGGCAGACACTCAAGAGCCTGTATTTCAAAACCAGGGATGAAAAGATAGTCCATGCTTCAGGAAGGGCACAGTCGAGCTGGGATGACAGGCGTATAAACTAAACACACAATGTCAAATTCAAAATCACCCTTGAATTTTTTTGACCTTGTGATTACTCCTGCTAAAACCAATCAATGCATATAACCATTAATTACTAAGTTAAAAAAAATACTAAAACATACTATACTTAAGGGAATAATATTTTGATTATATTATCCAATTGCTATTACTTAAATTCAAGATTAGAACAGTTCTGAGTATGAAGGTAAACTGTTAAGAGTCCAGCATTTTACCTGTAGCATAAACAATCTGATCTTTCGCTTGGTCTCTCTCTTTCTTCATTTTTTCCAGGTCTACTTCAAGAGCTTGTTTGTCTTGCTTCAATCTTTTGATATCTTCCAATAAACTGTTTTTTTCTTTCTTGATATGTAAAGAAACACAAAAGCAAATTATTTTCAAACACAACAAATTGTGGGATTGTCTCTGCAGCGCAGGCAGGCAACAAGCAGAGCAGGCAAGGGAGAGTCTCGAGACCTCAGAGGCTTTTTCAGGCTTTTAATGATCTTTCTACAACATGTGTAGTGAGGCAACCAGGTGTAGGGCAGGCAGGGGTGCCAGGAGGGTGGTGGGGAGATGGGGGCCCTTGAAGCTCCCAGCCCTGGAGAATCCTTTACTCTTTGGGCTCTTTCGTGTGTCCTCTCATGGTCTCCTCTCACAGGGGCTCTCCGCTACACTGTCCCCTGCCACACTATCCTGTGACACCACACCTATATGCTCAGCCGTGCCCACTTATGCATTCCCATACCACACTCTGGTGCCCGCCGTCAGGCATGCATGCCTTGCGCCCACACCCCTAAGTGCCTCCTGCATTCAAGGTCTCTGGTGATAGCCCCAGAGGCCAAGGGTACAAAAGCCTGAGAAGTCTTCATTTACCCTACAGTCTCTTTTTTACCTAATATATTATAACGCCTACAGCTAAATAATTCCTAAATTTTAGTTTGGATTTAATCACTATTTCCCTTTCTAGAATAGTTGCCATAGCCTACTAAAATCAGTTCCAATCATTTTACCCTGCACAACCTTAAAGATTTGTTTTCCATCTATTAGCCTACCCTCCTGGATTACAGCAATAACCCCCTGGAGTGGCAGGAAGACCACAAGAGGAGAGTCCTGGAGCCCTCTGCGGCTTTTTCAGGCTTTTATTGAGCTTTTGCTAGGTACACACGGCAGGCAGGGGAGCCCGGGGGGCCGGCAAATCTTCATTCTTTCTGGGCTCTCCGCATTCTCTCGTTCTCGTTCTGCTTTCTGCTACTCTCATTCTGTTGCTCACTTGTTCTTCTTGTTCTCTGGTGTCCCCATGACGCTGCCCTTATAAGATCAGTCTCAGCCCAGCTGTGCCCACCTATGCACGCCCACATCCTACTCCAGGTGTCCGCCATCAGGCATTGTAGAGGCAGGAATGGGCACAGTGCAGGTTTTCTATGACTCAAGCAGACAGGGTAAGGAGAGAGTCCTGGAGCCCTCAGTGGCTTTTCAGGCTTTTATTGGGATTTACCAGGTACATGGCTGGCAAGGGGTGCCGGGGGCTGGGAGGCTAGGCCTGCCCAGCAAGTCTTCACTCTTTCTGGGCTCTCAGGCGTTCCCTGGTGGCCTTGTTCTCTGCTGCTCTCATGGTTCTCCTGGTATCTCCGTGACACCGCCCTTATAAGCCCTGTCTCTCAGCACAGGTGTATCCACTTACGCATGCCCACACCCTACTCCAGGTGCCCGCCATCAGGCATGCATTCAGGACCGCAAGGATCCATCATCAATCCTAATGGAGGGACAGCAGAAAAGCCTGATACTTATTCACTTACCCTACAGGCATACATGTAGGACTGCAGGGATCCATCATTAATGCTAATGGCGGGAGGGCCGAAAAGCCTGATAATTTTCCACTTACCCTATACCCCCAAGCCTACCACTTCAACTCTATTCTGCTCACAGGAGCCAGAGAATTTCTCTGAAAAGTCTATTAGTATCACTCAGAAATCTTGTGGTGGCTCCCATTCCTCTCAGGAAAACCCAGTCCTCACCATTACCTACAGCATCACATAACCCTGCCTTGGCCACACCACTAGCCACATCTACTGCAGATCGTCCCCTCCCCACCCCCACCCCACTTTTGCCACAGAGACCTCCCAGTGGTTCTTTGAATCCACCCAGCACAGGCCTACCCAAAGGAGTCTGCACTCACTGTTTTTTCTACCCACAGTGCTCTGCCCCCAGACAGCCAGGTGCCTCATTCCTTCACTTCATCAGGATTTCTGCTCAAAGGAAGCCTCAGCAAGACCTTCCTTGACCATATAAAACAGTAATCACACCCCAGCCTAAAGGGAGGGGTGAGTTGTTCAATTTTCTTCTCACTACAATCATCACCACCTGACATACCATAGATTTGCTTGAAAACAGGGTTGTATTTTGCTAATTCTTGTATTATAAATGCATCCATAACACTTGGCACATCAACACAAACTGCTGAATGATTATATCCTATAGACCATATTCCTCTGAGAACACAGATATGCTCTTACAACAAGTTTATTATATTTCAAGCCATCATTTCCCATTGCTTTTAGTGGCAATCTTAGTTTCCTGTTTGTCAGAAAAATGTTGAATTTCATTTTTACATTTTAAAAGGACAGGTTAGAAAAAAGAGAAAGAAAAAGAGGCATCTGCATAGTCACCGGTGGGCAGGAGAGCTGCAGCTTTGCAAAAGGAAACGGTTTGTAAAAAGAAACACCTGCATAGTCACAGGCTGGTAGGAGAGCTCAAATCACCACTTTTAAAAGATCACCAATAATAAATGGTCTTTCAATGAAGCTAACTGCTATGCCTGAAACTATTAAGTTTTCTAAGCCTTCATAAAGAATGGCAATATAACTTTTCACTCTTGCTAAATTTTTGAGGCTCACTGTTAAGAGAGTGTGGGTCCAACCATTTATTCTTTCTATTTGCTTAACTACCTAATTGTTCTGTACCTACAAAAATCTGAAGCTCCCTAGCTGATTCACATTTGAAGCTGCATTTTATGTACTACAAAAATTTTAAGCTTCAATTACTGAGTTATGGCATGGTTATATTTCTATGTAACCTCACTTTATATACTAATTTTCAAAAAGGGACATGTAATGGGAATTTTTCTAATTTACATAAACATTCCACTAGATTGGAAGGGCTTTTTAGTTTAATGACATAGTTCTAAATAGGAGGGAGTGGGGAGAATGAACTGCCTTCCCACAGGGGATGTTTAGAATATGGCACAGGTTTTGATCGTTACAATTACTGGTAGGTACTACCAGCAATGCCTGGAATTGTTCTGTTTAAAACAGAATTTATCTGCCCCAAACCTCAAAGTTTTTGCACTGAAAAGATATTACTTTACAAAATCAAAGCCATATTCTTTACAATACAATTCAATAAAAATAAGGAGTTATGAAGCAGCTACTGAATTTCACCTCTGCATTAAGTATGAAGGACAAAATGTTTGTATTATAGTCTGTCTCTTAAGAGTGGAAAACAGGTATAAAGGCAACTAATTTTTAAAGGTGAACAGTTATCTTCAAATAATTTTCCTATTTTAACTTTACATTTCCAATGAGGAACTTTCTTGCAGTGATGTTTATATCCTCTAAGTAAACTGTGTCTCCAGGATGGCTCCATGTGATAAATGCCTGATGAGAAGTAGAGTCATACAGGGGATGTCACTTGAAACTAGCACTACACTGTTTTCCCCATGTTAAGGTCACACGTATGCTAAATGCTACCCGTTTCTTAATTTTCAATGGTAGAAATATATAAACAGACCTTACTTTCCATAAATTACCAAAACAGATCTCTACACATATGGGGATTTTTATAATAATTTTTGTTATCACTAATAGGCTAATAGTTAAAATCCTGATGCAACTTACCTGTGCTACCCGCAGTTCTGCTAACAGATCTGTAAAACTCTGGTTTTTAGTGGGCTCCGAGTCTTCAGCTACTTGGGACAGCAAATGACTTTTATGCATCTGTTCTCTGATTTATTTTGAAAGAACATAAATGTATTATTACTATCACAATAAATTGCTCAGAAACAGTCTGATTTTAAGAATTTAAAAATGACTTACTTTGGGCCTCCCTGGTGGCGCAAAGAGTTAAGCACTGCATTATGAAGCAATCCACTGCCTCTGCAGCACGAGTCAATCGACCGGCCAGGGAGCAACCCACATGGCACAGCAGACCTCTCCTGCCTCGCCCACTGCTTCCCTCAGCAGTGTATTTCAGTCAGTCTGCCTGTTCTGTTCCCCATTCTGTCTCTGGTGATTCCTCTCACCCCCCGCATCTCTGGCCTGTACCCTAGTTCTTGTATGCATAAATAATCTTAAAAAATTAAAAAAAAAAGACTTACTTTAAGGATGCTAACTCGCTGAATAAACTCTGATTTTCCTTGAACATCCGTTCCTCATTTTTCTTGTTTTGTTCTTGGAGATCTTTCACTTGATTATACAATTTTTCATTTTCCTTTTATAAACAAAATTACATCTTAATTTAAAATCAAAGTAATTAAGTATATATGCTTACAGCAGATATAGTAAATATTTTTAAGGTCTTCTAATTTCTTCAATTATTAAGTAAGCAAACTCTATTTTAAACTCTGTATTATCTCTGAAAAAATCTTGGTATCTTAAAAACAATTCTGCTCAAAATGCTTACTTGGGGAAAAAAAAGTTGCAAAAATTTAAAAGCCAAAGAGCCTAAAGTAAAGTCAATGCTCTGCATTTCTCAGGATTCTGGGCTGCAGGACAACCACATCCAGCTACAGGCAGAAAGACCCAGTGGGACTGCTTGCATCCTTTTTTTTCTGTTTCTGGAGTGCCTGTCTGCAGTGAAATAAATTGGATGTAGCCACATCAGTGTCTATAGGGAAAATGGAGTGGCTAAGGCTCTTTTTCCCTTCCCACCACTAGCTTCTACAGCTGCCACCTGCGGCCTTGCTTTCCTCCCAGGTTTCACTGCCCACCCGTGACAATGTGTTATTGCAAGAAGCACTTGGGAGCGCGAGCACAGGGCAGGCATGCCTATGATCTCCGGGCCGAGAAGCCGAAGAGCACGGGGCACAAGTACCTTTAAGTATAGATGTTGGGGGAAGATCATTACCAGAGAGAAGAGAAGCCACAAAGAGAGTATGGAGATCACGGGAGCTGGGAGGCTTAGTTGCTGTCAGTCTCCCAGCCTCCCTGCCAGCTGGTCTGCCTGATTCTGGTCCCTTGCTTCAGCATTAAAGGCCTGTCAAATCTACTGAGGACTCCCAAGATAGGGATATCCATTTTCCCAAAATCAATAATGAACATACCATCCTGGCATGTGATGTTTGCCCTGACAGTGTCCATGCCTGCTTGAGGAACTTTCTATGAGCATGGGAGTTTCTGAAAGAGTCAGGACAGGTAGAGAACCCATATCATCACCAGGCTAGAGCCAGAGTGACTAACAGTGAGATCAGATGGAGAAAATTAAATATGTGCTTAGGTGCTCTGGCTTATTAAGCTCGTTGAAATTAAGAATTTGATGAAAAACTTCTCTCACCCTCCCGTGCTTCTGACTGTACCCAGTGCATGTATAAACAAAACAAACAAACAAACCAGCAAACAAATAAATAAAGCATGCCTCTATAAAAAAAAAAAAAAAAAAAAAAAGAATTTGATGAAAACCAAGGACCCCTAAGGATCTAATGAAAACTATGGACTGTCTCACTGTGTCTGGAATAGTGTATGGCAGATGATCTGTGCTTAAATATTAGAATAGTGAAATATAGAAAAATAAATACATACATAGATAAGATGAATTTTGTAGGAGGGGGTTGTTATTAACATACTTCTGGGTCTTTGACATCCTCCCTAAAAAGTGTCTTTACTATCGCAAGATCAGAATGGCAAATTTGGAAGGTTCTCACTGACTCTAGGGCAGTCTGTTCTACCTCATTATTGTAAATGATGCAGTAACTGCTGTTGTAATGCCTTCTCTGGATATGCCCGCATGACAGTGCTTGGTACTGGCAGACTCAATGCCGAGGCTATAGTAATCAAAAGAATAAAAGGTAATGAAAGAGAAGAAGAAGAGGGAAGCAAAAAAAAGGAAAGCGATAGGGAGAAAACTAATTGAAGATCATGAAATCTGTCCTGGCTGTCAGGTCAGGTCATCTCTGCTTTCTGTAGGACACACAGATTTGCTCTCATTTAACTCAAATTTCTTTACACTCTCAGTAAAGTTACAATTGATTTCAGATTCTTATTTCTGAACATAAAAGTCGAAAGAAGCATAATAGAAAACTAATGAAAAACAGAACAGTTTCTAAGGAACGTGGTTATTAAAAATATTAACAGGCAACATTCACTGACTGCTACTGTGCACTGGGCACTAAGCAGTTGGTTTACACTGTCTTGCCTTAATTTCACAACCACTTTATGAGGCAGCCACTATTATCATCAGTCCCATTTCACAGATATATAAACTGGCTAAGAGACGTGAAGAGATTTTTCCGAGGTTGTGGAGCAGGACTAAATAGATTCTTTAATCCTGAACCCATGCTCTCAAGCACTTAAATTTTTCCCATAAGAAATGTGCAGACTAAATTATTACTTCCTCATATTTTTTAGAGTCCCCATTTCCTATTAAATAGACAGAAATATTTTCACATGACTTTATAATCCAAATATCTCAAGAATAAACCCACAAGTGCTTAAGAATTTCAGTACCTGCTGATAGCCCTGAAGAAGAGTCTCTTGTTCTTGTATTTCTTTCTGGATATGCTTCAATTTTTCTTCAGTAACAGGATCACTTGTTTCAAAATGTAACCACCTTTGTTTTTTATTTGTTTCTTCAAAGCCACTTAACTTTGAAAAAATACAGAAATTGTTTAATTTGGGGACCAAATGATGAGTGAGAAATTACGAATAATGGAAAACGCAAGATTTAAAATTTCAAATTGTCATATAACCACACTGGAACGAACATAACACAAACTACAGTTAAATCACTACAGTGATGTTTTGTGCCAGGGTTCTATACTCAGAAATGCTACTTAGTGTCATTCTCTGAATCTAGACCTTCTATAGCAATTCTTTCTAAAATTTTGTATTTTCTGAAGGTCACGGTGAACTAAGGAATTTGTTTTAAGATGATATTTGAACAGGAGAACAATGAACCAAGGAACTTGTTTTAAGATGATATTTGAACAGGAGAAAACTATCAAAATGAGCCAATGTAAATTTTGATTTCCCCTCCCTGGGGTGTTTAATCTGGGCTCTGCTATAAGGTGGTATTCTCAGGAACCATGTGAATATTTTATACAGCAAGTCAAATGGCTCCAGGACAAGAATGATGATGCATTTAGCAAGGTATTCAAATTACCTATCAAAAAAAAAAAAAAAAAGAATAGCACAATAATGTCTATACCTTGGCTTGAAGAATATAATTGTCTTGACTCAGTTTAAAGAGTTCCTTTTCTTGTTGACTCTTTAGTTCTTCCATCTTATTTTCTAGCTCTCTTTCTTTTTCTGAGAATGTGACTTTAATTTGCTCAATTAGGGCTTGAGCATTCTTCCACTTTTCCTCTGCTTCCTGAACTCTTTTAAGCATAATCAGTTCTGCTTCCTTGTTCCCAGCATGGTATCCTGAAGAATTCTTTAAAGGAAAGCATCACTTTATTATAGTAAGTTTACATAGTAAGATTTGAAAGATCTTACTTAAGATTTAAAAAAAAAACACAAGGAATAAAAATAACGTGGTTAATAATATTATTATTAAACAAAATAAATATTCAATAAGAACAATTAGAATATCAGTGTGGAAGCAAAACAAAATTTTTTATTGTAATTTATTTTTATCATTTCAGCCTGTAAAAACATTGTGAATATTATTTTGAAATTCAATACTTACATTCTGAAACTGAGCACCGGAATCAGTTTCTGTAGGACCTTCAGAATTCTTAGGAGCCGCTAAGAAACTTTCAGTTTTGGGAGCTGGCTTACTAAGTGCTGCAGGCTTGATGAGTTTTGTTCCAGATAAGATTTCTAAGTAGTGTAAACAATGGATAAAAGCTCAACAAATGCAAAGTTGAATGTGTATTCAGTAATTAAAAAGCAATATGATGAGAACAATAAGATAAACGAGGACATCAAAACAGGCTGAAGTATAACATCCCAATAGCTGTCTCATTGCCCTCAGAAATGTTTTCCATTATCATCTCAAAATTTGACACAAAAGTCTAACAGACCCAAGATTAATGCCAAATGACAAATGTAGCTAAATATATATGTGAGAAGAATGTGGACTTGGGACAGTTTCAATCTTTAGTGCTTTGTAAATAAATTATTCTTCTAAATTTTCATAGCAGTAACAAGAATATCTAAATGAATCAAAAAGTAGCTGCCAACTTTATGAACATTTTAATAATACATATCAAGATACAGTATAATGGAATAATATAAACTGCATAGATTTTAACAACTAGTCTAAATTTGATTTAAAATATCAAATATTGCTATCCTGGTGACATATACTAAATTAGAAAAAATGTGATTATTCTAGTCAAATCTTCAGATTTTAAGTTCCCAAACCTGAAGGAAACCTTGAGGCCCATATTCAAATACTACAGGTTCTGAGCTGAACATTCAGTAAAGATTTATTGTCTTAGATGTCGGTGAAAAATTCAAAATTTTTATTTTTAATATAATTTCTTCTAACTCTTTAAATGTAAAGTTTACTTTTTCATTAAAAGTGAACTACATAGTAGCTCATTCAAAGATTTTTTTCCCCAGAGGTTTTCTTACAGAGTAGTGATCAAACAGGATATATAGGGGAACCAAATAAGATATCATTGTAAAAAAAAAAAAAAAAAAAAGTACAAAACACAACAAAGCAAAAACAGACAATTATAAATCAGAGACATACTGTAGGGGAGGAGGAGGGAGAGGCATCAGAGGGTAAGAGGGAGGAGCACAGGGAACTGTGGTGATGCTGCATGGGTGCCTTGGGGAAGGAAATTCTATGGGGACTCAACCTGAGGGGGTGGGGGGAAGCAAATATTGTTTAAAAATAAAATTGAAAAAAAGTAGTAATCATGTTAAATTTGCAATGTTTGATATAGGTTTTCTGGAGAAATTTCTTCAAGAATTCATAAACTGTTTAAAAGCAGGCATTAATATGTCAAAGTCACTGGGGATCTATTAATGTGGCAAAAGAAAGGGCTGCGATCTCCTAGCACCACCATTCTCCCTAGCAAGTGACAGTTGAGCAGCAGATGTCAGGCACGCTACAGTGAGCCAGTGCCTTTAGTGCAGGATTCTCCCTCCCTTAGCTCTGAATTTTTATACATGAAATACTTATTTTTAGTAATGGTACATGGGCGGTATGTTTTCCCCAGCCTAAAAAATAAAAAATTTTGACTGGATATAAAATTTATTTATTTATTTGTTTGTTTGTTTATTTATTTATACAAGCACTGGGTACAGTCAGAAGGTGGGTGAGAGAATTCACCAGAGCCAGACCGGAGAACAGAACAGGCAGACTGACGAAATACACTGCTGAGGGGAGCAGCAGACCAGGCAGGAGAGGTCTGTCTCGCCATGTGGGACCCCAGCCATGTGGGACCCCTGCTGGTGGCAGGGGATCAAACCTGCGAACCGGCGCTGCAGAAGCCATGGGCAGCTTCACAGCCCAGCGCTCAACCGCTGTGCCACCAGGGGAGGCCCTGGATATAAAATTTAAACAAAAAACATCATAGAATTTGGAACCCATAAGCTCTTCTGGAAAAATGAGCTGAGAAAATTCAGTGAAACAATAAACCAATCAAAATAACTCCAGAATAAAGAAGCCACGGCTATGGGACTACTGAAAAGCATCCTATCTTCTTAATAACTAGAACCTAAATTCAAAAGCTGACAGGACTTTCAGTTGCAGGAGATACTATAACGGACATCTATCTTGAGCAAATAAAAATAAAACTAACAAAAATGGGTAGGATGCATGTGAGTAGGAATGTATGGGTTTTATTTCCTTATATTTCGTAGAAGAGAAACATGACAATGTATAAAAGTGAAAGTTATAGTTAAAACCAACAACAGGGTTTTGACAACTTGAGGGGAATTCAGAATTTGTTTTTTTTTAAGAGATATTTTTGGGGACACATTATTGTTAAGATGAAGTCTCTTTTTTTTCCCTTCTAGATTTCAGTAAATCTGAATCTAATGTTTTAATTAAAATCTTACTTAAAAAGAACTTATAAGTGGAATCCTTATTCGTTAAGGTTCTTATAAAATGTTTTGTTCATTTATCCATAGGCCTGTCTCACTCCTCCCTCCCACACACTTACACACGCGTCCTTTTATCTGCAGAAGCACATACAGGGACACGCATGGAATGTGCTCACCCAGTGTAACACTAGTTGTTTCTGGCTAAATTATTGCTGTCTTCTTTTTACTTTTCTGTATTTTTTTGAATTTGTATAATGAGCAACTATTTATTCTTTCATGACAATAAAATTACTAGTCTAAAAATAAAAACGAGTTAATAAAGAAAACTGACTCAGAATAAAAATGAAAACAACCACATCACAAATACTGCTAGCTGCCAATCTTCTCTTCCCACTTAGTAACAGAATCCTTCTTTGCGTTGGGCAGCAATGTGCCCAATGAAACACTTATCTCCCTAGACCCCATGCAACTGTGGTGCCAGATTGAGGTTCTGGCAAAGAAGAGTAAAATAAGTTTCCTACGTGGGGATTCCAGAAAAGTGACAAATTTCCTGATTAAGAAGTTGACGATTTAATTGGCATGAACCTTTACCTTGCACCTACCCTCATCATGGACCTTGAATAGGTATCTTGCAACAATGAAAGCAAAAGTTAGACTTTTGCAGTAGGAAAGGAGGATTCACAGTTGCACATGCTCTGTGCCTATCCTGGCTGCTTTGATTCATGAAAAGAAATCTTTCATTTGGGGAAGCCCTGGGACTGGGGCTTCTTTTTCATCTTTTTTTTTTTTTTTTTTTTTAAGTGTAGGGGATCTTTTTGTTCTTTTTTTCAAGATTTATTTATTCATGCATACAAGAACCGGGGTACCAATGTTGATCCCAAGTGCATTCTCTAGAATTTCTATTACTCTCAATCTTTGTCTGCTTCTCAGAGAACCTACCTGTAACAAATAACAACATCCCAAAGGAAATACAGTTCTGAAAAACTAACATTGCTCTGAGAAATTTTTCAATAAGAAGACAAATAAAAAGTCATACTTAATAGATAGTCTAATGAGAAAAAGTAGCTCAGTATAAAAAAAGTCATGGTCTATCAATATATTTTAATATAAATTTTAGCGATGCTTTATTTTTATTTTGGTGGTCACAAATCTCATGCAATATTGAAATAGGGCAAAAATACTCATACAAATAATGTTTTCATCTGTCAATCTCTATATCATCCCACACCTCTTCCACCCACTGTGACATTATTCTGTCTTCATTCTTAGTAATCCCACCATACTCATAGGTGATCTTTTCAATCCACTGGTGCTTGGTTCCTCATATTTCTCTCCACCTCAACTTACTCCCACTGGTATATTGTCTTTTTCTAATACCAGTCACATAAACACATCTGAATCTTGAGTTTTAGGCCTTTACTCTATCAATCCTACCTCCCACCTCATGCCCTCTGCTTCCTGAATTCCAAAAATCGTAAATACATGGGGACTCACAGTGTGTTGGTCCGGCCTGTTCTAATACTGTACCACAGCCCTTGATATCATCTCTGCCTTCATAATTCAACTTAAATTTCATATACATTGTCAGTTCCTTTCTTTCTTCTCTCTCAGTTCAATGTACTGACACTTGGTAAAAGACACTTCTCTTGATAAATCCAACTACACAATTACCCAATATCGCAGCAACGTGTGGCTGTGTACACATGAATACACATCTCTATTGCCACCATCCTACTTCAAGCCCCATCACTTCTAACTTGGATTCCTAAAATCAACTTCTTTTTGCCCTATTTCAACTTCTAACTGGTCCCTGTGCTTCTTCCTATGCCTCCGAAGGTCTGGGTATATGTTTGTACATATGGTCTATATATAACACAGCAGCCAGAAAAACTCATGCATAAGCTAAGTCAAATGAGGTCACTCCCATGCTCAGCAATTTTCAGCAACCACCTTTTCATGAACACTTAACTTTTCTTTTTCTTTTTTTTTTAAAGGAATTTATCATTATTTTTGTGTGTATGTAGAAAAACGGGGGTATAGGCCAGAGGTGTGGGAAGTGAGAGGATTCGAGAGACAGAGTGGGGAACAGAACAGGAGGATTTTACTGCGAAGGGGAGTAGTGGGCGAGACAGGAGAGGTCTGCTTTGTCTATGTGAGTTAGCTCCCTGGCCAGGGAATCAAAATCAGGCCATAGTGATGATAGCGCTGAGACTTACGTCTAGGCCACCAGGGAGGCCCATACACCTAACTCTTTAAAATACCTAAGAAAAAGATATATATACACACACATACATACATATACCCATCCTTTGGCTCTCTGCTCTCATCTCTCATAAGCCTCTGCTCAAACGATTCTAACCTTGAACATGCCAGTTGTTTTTTCCTTACTTGTAGGACTTCTACACTGGCTGTTCCAGAAGCATATTCCAGAAGTATATTCCAGAAGCATATTCCAGTGAATAATCTTACCCCCTACAACAAATCTTTGGTCATATGGCTCTCAATGAGGCCTTACTTTGTCTATTCCATTTAAAATTGCAAACTGCCACACTTCATCACTGACACTCTTGCTCTAATTTTTGTCCCCCTTAACATATAACATTATTTACTTATTTATTATGCTTTCTGTGAAAACATGTCTTTCCTCACCAGATGGATAGATCAAAAGATGAGGGTGGGGAGGTTTTCTCTGCCTATTTTGTTTACTGATGTATCTCAAAGGCCTCTAACAGTGCCTGGACCAGGTAGATGCTCAAAAATATATTTGTTAAGTAAATGAATTTGGGTTAAATACACTTTAAAAATGGGAGTTAATTTATCTAAAATAAACATAGCAGAGTAAATGATATTAAAACAAAATTTTATTTTCTTGTTTCCAATAGTATCTAAAATGAATACTCCTGCTTGTATTAATCCTAGAGAACCATATTCCTATATCACCAGGACATCCAGCTTCTACTGCTTTCATTTTTCCCTCTGAGGTATCAGCCTTAGCCTTTCCATCTTATCAGTACAGGTTGCTGTAGCAAATATACACCCACAAAGGCAGAAGGAAATAATTAACGCCTAAAGAATTTTAAATATAGTCAAAGTGGCCAGGGAATTGATAGTTACAGGGAGAGGTGAGCAAAGTCATTTTAAACTAACAATTTCCAATGAGGGCAGTCCTCATGATAGCTATCACCAGATAACTGAAGAAACTGGTCACCTACTCAACTTAATCACAAAGTAAAGGAAAAATACTTCTGGTTCCATTGCCAGCCCCTAATCTAAAAACATCAGGAATGTTAGCATTTCTACTTATTTTAATAGCTGCATGGGTTCCTGAAGTTGAAAACTACCCCTTCATATTATCAATAAATGACTAGATCAGAAAATAACTACCAGAAGCACTGTGATGTACAAAAACATGCATTATATGATATATAAAAATATCCCCCTTCTCCAAAGCTATACTGAATAAATATCCAGATAATCTCTATATCAGCCTTTATTCATACGTTGCCATTTGCATTCTGAATTTATAGCTCTTCTCTGGTAGATATTTTGGATATTACAAAGTGAACCAGATGAGGGGGATTTGACTCCCCTATTTTCTATTCATTTCCCATACTTCAATAGTTTCATTCAAGAAATATTACTGGAATGATGAGAAACCTCCTGCAAATTGAATCTCTCAGAAATGGAATGTAATACCTTAATAATCATTTTCTATGACTAAGAAAAGCTCATATAAGGAAACAAGGAACTAGGAAAATAAAATTACCTACTATATTACATGCATAGAATTCTATTATGAAGAATATATGGTTACCTTTTTTCCTAGCTTGATTTGAGGTAGTGGTAGATCTCAAGTTTTTGCTTTTCATGCTGTCCTTTGAAATTTTCTTTTCAAGAGTAGAAAATGTCTTGAAAGGTGAACTGGGTTTTCCATAGCCAGAACTCCTAACTGATGCATACAATCCACTCTGGGGTTTTCTTTTATGTAAAGGAGGTGCACTTCTGGATTTTTTATATGGTACCTGTTTACCAATTACATCCCTTTCTTCTCCAGAACTGAGTTGAGACTTAAAAGCCTGCATACAACAAGTATAAACTCATTAGTACTTAAATGAACTTCAAGTATAGTTGTAAACGAAGATGTAACAAATAACAAAACCTTAGTGATTACTAAATAATGTTTGTGGAAAGCAAGCCACACATTAAAATTCTTTAATTCTAATTCTTTGGAATTTTAATATTTTGAAGCACACCTTCAAAGTCAAGAATAAAAAAAAAAAGCATGGAGAAGAGCAAGGAAGGACATATGACATAAAATCTTAGATTTTTTTGAAATGACATAAAATCTTAGATTTCTCAAATTTGAAATTTATCAGTACTGTTATTCCACAAAATATAGTAATGGTTTATGATAAAAACCGAATTCAAAATTATAAAATAAAAGTAGAATATTGGGGGCCTCCCCTGGTGGTGCAGCGGTTGAGTGCTGGGCTGCGAAGCTGCCCCCAGCCTCTGCAGCACCGGTTCATTCCCCAGCCACCGGTGAGGGTCCCACAAAAAAAAAAAAAAAAAAAAAAAGTAGAATATTGACATCATGGAAACTATAAATTAGAATAGGTCAGGGACAGTGAAATATAAGTTCCTCAACAGTTGCTGATAGCATTTACATGAAATGTCAACTTACTTTGGCAGAACGACTACCAAAAAGACTGAATGGAAAGCACTAGAATGATGATAAACTTTATTTTCTTATATTACTCAAGTTCTAAACTATGTTTACTGAAAAAAAAAAAGCCAAGAAAAATATAAAGTATTATTTCTAAAAGAAAACAAATGCTACAGTGGTATTATTTAATAGGAACTTCAGGATAATTAATACATGTTGCTCACAAATATCTAGGATCTATGTAGAGGTTAACATATAATCAATCCCTTAAGTTTAAGAAGTACACACTTATAAAGAATACTTATATAACTTAAATTATCAATGTGTCAAATCAATTTAGATTATAAATACTCACTTTATTTATTTTGTCTTCCTGAGGTATAAATGAAGGAGCAACAGATATTTTTTTCCTCAAAATATCAAGGTACATCTTATCTATATGTTCTTCCATGACATTTACTCTTGGACAGCTAGTTTCTATACCTTCATGTGTTGTCTTTTGTAAACCCACATTCTCTTCATTTTTGTCAAAAAATTGGTTCATGTTTTGTGGCTCTGGAGATGTAACACTGGTGGTCATCTTGAGGGGTAAATGGCTAATGAATTCAGTTTCTTTACTATCGGCCAATTTCTTATAGCTGTAAGTCAAAACAGGACACAGAGCCTTTATTCTATATGACTCCTAAAATATCAGTTTTAATAGGGTATATAAACATATATATACACCTACATACACATACATAATATGTATTAACTATTCAACTTAGGTCATTAATGTCAAACACATTATTTACAATGCTGGTTTCCAAAGTATACTCACAGTATCATATAATAGTTTTACATTTCATATAATTTTAATGTAGTATATAAGGGATTACATTGATTACTCTGAAACCTACTTCAAAGGAAAGCCAAATCAAAAAAGACTGAGACTGCTTTTTATATCAGGAGAAAAAAAGAATTTCTAAGTAAACTTTTTGTAACATACCTTTTATCTATATTTTGTAAAGCTAATATGCATTTCAGGTAGGAAAATATTTTATATATTTCGATGTACTAAAGAAGTATCACAATTTATGCCAATAAGCTACACAGTATTACAAATGTTAAAAGCATTTTTCATCACTGAAAAGGAAAAATTTTAAAGTGAAACAGAAAAACCACTAGGATCTTGAAATAAAATCATTTTGTGGTTTAAAAACTTAAATGTAATGCAACATTTCAAACCATTAGATTTTAAAAATATGGAAATGATCCTTTAAGGAAATGTTAAGTGTGGCTAAATATTAGCATATAATGGGAGCTCCAAAAACATGGAAATTGTTGCTTTCAAGTTACTTCCTCATGAATAATTAGTTATTTAACTTTGTAATTTACAAGATTAAAAGAAAGTTCAAGAGTTTACCACCTTCATGTAAGGTAGACTGGCTTCTTAGTAATTGGTAGAAGCTTTAACATAGTTGGAATCATCAGGAAATAAAATTATTCTTTCCTTCTCCATGGGAGAAGAATCTGGCTAGATGGTCATCAAAAGCGTTCCCCATTCTCTCTGCATACAACTCAACTACATTTTCTTACTATCTTGCATGTAGATGGGGGCATTTACTAGTTCCTGCCTTTCGAATGTACATGTTAAAATAAAAAATAAAAAACTAAAATATGTGTCATTGGTTTAGAGGTTGGGTTTTAGGTGGCAAGGAAACTGATATTAGAAGATGGCCATATAATAACCCATGTTTCACAGTTGCAAAACTTTCCAAACTGTCACCTGGGGTACTAGGAGTGTTATAGGACTGGACCACCCTGTTACAGGAGAACTAGCAGAAGAGAACAGGGTGTTTTTTTTTGTGTGTGCTTTATTAAAGTGCTAGCTACTTTTGAAAAGATATCATAGGAAAAAAAAATGAACTCAAGCTAGAATGGGCCAGCTTGTTAAGAAGAAATCAAAATGAAAAGAGTAGAAATTTATGGTCTCTTGGGTTCACTCTCTGTGTCTAGACTAAAAGAGTAAGATTTGGTATTGAAAAATGCTATAAGAAGGAAGATTTTATGAGACCTTTTTTTTCAAACCAAGAGGAAATATATTTTCCAAGAGAAGAATGTGTATCTGTAATGTACAAAAAATTTCTAAAATGACTTTTAAAACATGTCATTGAAAAATGGGCAATAGACATCAACTGGCTTTTCAGAGAGTACAAAATAAGGCTTCTTGGCTGAATGACTTGATTCCTTGGCAAAGGTCATCTTAAAAGTATTATTATTCGTACTTAAAAGTTATTGTTAACAAAAAATATCCAGACAGCTGCAATCAAATTGAGAGGAAAAAAAAAAGGGACAAGCAAGGAGGGACATAAAAGTAGTGTCTAGCAAAAAACTTTAATTGTAGTTAGAGGCATATGAGACTGAGTGGAGTGAAACAGATCAGAAACTTACTAAACTTTCTGAAGGAATATAATGCCAATGAAACCAAAAACTTATTTTTTAAAAGTCAGTAACTGTTTGGAAGCCTTAATACTACCTGCAGACAGGAAGAAGTGCAACCTCCAACAGGGAATATTGTGACCCCAAAACCTACTTCAGCTATGAGCAAGAATGATAAAATATAAGTCAAATCCCTCAAGGGTTATTTGAACCAGAAACTATATGGATAATATACTTAAAAGGTATTTCTTCATTAAAAGCAGAATAATGGTCTAATTAAGGAAAAACTGCATCTGAAAGGAAGAAGTCTTTATAAAGTCTTTCCACTGGATTTCAAAGTTACATTACTGATTGATATATTTTCTCTATACTTTTTCCTTTTGAATAGGAGTATTTGTTATAGTTCCACCACTATATTCTGGATGGGGGCAAGACAGTATACAACTGGTCTTTTTAATTCATAGATAAGTAAACAATGAGGAGCTATATTCAAACATGATGGAGAAGACTATGTTTTATATGGAAAGTCTGCCCTTTCAGAATACAGTCCTGAATGCGATTTCGAGCTGCCTGCTTTGGGGAAGGAAGGTGCATTTGAAGAAGAGTGAAATGGATACCTGGCTATCAGAAGGGCAGACTTTGGTAGACACTGACTAGATGCCTACCAACTCATTTACTTTTCTTTCTGGGCACATAGGCATACCACATTTTCCAGTCCTCTTGTACCTTGTTAGTTAGATGTGCTAGTTTTACTTATAGAATGTGAGCTGTAGTGATGTGAATACTTCTATGCTGAAGCTGTTAAGAGGAAGTATATTAAACCATCTTTTTTTTTTTTTTTAAGATTTATTTATTTATACAAGCACTGGGTACAGTCAGAAGTGCGGGAGGGTGAGAGAATTCACCAGAGCCAGAGAGGGGAGCAGAACAGGCAGACTGACGAAATGCACTGCTGAGGGGAGCAGCGGGCGTGGCAGAAGAGTTCTGTCGCGCCATGTGGGACCCTTGCCAGTGGCTGGGGATTGAACCAGCACTGCAGAGGCTGTGGGCAGCTTCACAGCCCAGCGCTCAACCACTGCGCCACCGGGGAGGCCCTAAACCATCTTTTTTCTTTCCTTATTGACTGACCGGAGAAGGTCATGACAACCTTCAAACCATTTGTTAATGACAGAAGTAGGGCCTCCCCTGGTGGCGCAGTGGTTGAGTGCTAGGTTGTGAAGCTGCCCACAGCCTCTGCAGCACCAGTTCGATCCCCGGCCACCGGGTGAGGGTCCCACATGGCGCACAGACCTCTTCTGCCCCCCGCTGCTCCCCTCAGCAGTGTACTTCATCCGTCTGCCTGTTCTGCTCCCTGCTCTGGCTCTGGTGAATTCTCTCACCCTCCCACGCTTCTGACTGTGCCCAGTCAGAATAATAAATAAATAAATAAATAAATCTTTAAAAATATAAAAATAAAGTGAAGAAAATTTAAAAAAAAAAATGACAGAAGTAGTCTGGGTCCCTATGTCTAAGTGCAGCGGAGTCTGACCCCAATCCCATTGACACACATGGGATTATCATGTGAACAAGAAACATAATTTTCATGATGTTAAGTTACAAAAATTTCAAGAATTGTATATTACAACAGCCAGGATTATTTGCTCTATAGTTCACTAAAGTGTTTTTGGATATGTGTACTAAAGTTTATAACCACTGATATTTCTATAGTTATGCCTTTAATGCAGGTTATACCTATTATCAGCTTTTAAACACAATATAAAAATCTATATTTAGAATTCACATAACTAAAACGGTTGTACCTATGATAACAAAAACAAGATATACAAGAAGATCTCTTCAGTAACACTAACATATCTCCAAACAGCAATGGCAAGTGAGCACAACCAGTCCTTCGAAAATACTAACTAGCACTGCAGATCAGTGGAAGCATACTAGACTTAGTATTCAGGTAGAAGGGTTTTAATGTAAGCTTCACTGCATTATTTTCTACTAACTAGCATAAATGTAAAACCAAGGCCAAGAAATCACTGCAAGTGGCTTAACATGATAAGAAGGTAGTATACTTATTCAAACTGTGTTAAAAACATAAATGAACAAATGGATATACGAATGTAGAAGCTTTTCTGAAAAGTATTTCCTGGCGATCACAGATCAGACAATGTAAGTGTTTAAGCACAAGGGCCTCTGATTTCCCTGGTTATACTAATATGACCTTGGACTGTTTACTTAACCTCTTTAAGCCTCAGTTTTCTTATATAGGAAATAGAGATAATGGAATATGCTCTATCTGCAAAGAACTCTGTACAATACCTGGCCCATACTGGGCACATGATAGATAAAAAGTACATCATCATCATCTGGTTCTTGTGAGAATGCCAACATTAAATATTGGGTTAACTCTCATTTTCACCACTTGAAAGATGGGATAAATTTGCCTGTCCTATTTGTTATGAGGACCACTGAGATAATGAATGTGACATTGTAAGCACAATACAAATACAAAGATGTCTTAAGACAAGATTAATTGTGATGTGTGTTGGAGAATGATAGTGAGGTCCCTCAAGTTTTCACTATAATGTACCGGACTGGAGCATTTCACAAAATATGTGACCAAATAACTCACCCTGTGGGATAAGAATTAGTCTGTGACTTGGTACAAAACTAACTGATTTGTAAAGAAGCAAATCTGTGACTAGCGTACATGAGAATAAAATTCATTTTCCCTCTCACCTTTTGAATAAATTGTCCCTGAGCTACTTAAAGATGTAGGGAATATATTTTTCAGTGAAAAGCTTTAAAACTATTCAAAAGCAGCAACTGTTTTTAGTAGTGTATTAATAATTTTAGCCACTGGAAGAATTCTGAATTACTAATGAAGTAAAAGGAAGAGAGCAGTGACTGACTGGTAATCTCATACAAGCTACCCATAAATCACTAGGAATGCTTATTAGAACAAATCATTCTGAAAGTCTCCAATGACAAAGCAAAAACTCAACCATAACAAACAACCTGCACAATCCATTCCAAAATACTCATACCTGACAGGCTGTAAATCAAAACCACTGACCCCAAAGGAATCTATTCTGATAGGTTTCATCAGCTCCTCTACTGTGGGTAGATCTAAGAGTGGAAAAAAGTGAAAATAGCACCAATAATGTTTTTTAAATGGCTTAATTTAATGTCTAATACCACCGAAAGTACATTTTCTTTAACACAGTGAACAATGTGGCACATACTACAAATCTATTTTCATTGCAAACACCAAAACCTCTTTTGATATTTATATTTGAAAAAATATATACATTTGATATATAGATTAAATATTTCAAATATGTGTGTATACACATTTGTTAAATAACTATTTAGTTGATTCCAAAATATTGTCCTGTATTTAAAAAAATAACTAATATATGTACATGGAAAATATAAACAGTGTATAATCACTTAATCATTTCTTAATTTGGTCAATGTACACTAGAAGAGGAATTGAAGTTTTTTAAAAATATATATTTTTTAAAGATTTATTTATTTATGCATATAAGAACTGGGGTGTCAGCCAGAGGTAGTGAGAAGATTCACTAGAGATTAAGGGGGGAGCAGAACAGGTGGACTGAGTGAAATACACTGCTGAGGGGAGCAGAGGGCAAGACAGGTGAGATCTGCTGTGCCATGTGGGTAGCTCCCTGGTCGGAGATCAATCTCCTGCTGCAGTGGTTGCCGATAGCTTCATAGTGCTGAGACTTAGCCCCTTGTGCCATGAGGGAGGCCCTGGAATAGAAGTTTTACCCTATGTTTGGCTCTAGCTTTAGAGTAAAACTAATGATTCCCAGCTTCCATTAGAACAAACTCTTTAAATAAATTGAGAGATTAAGGAACAATCACCACAGCAAATGATATTTAAATTATACAACACTGGAAACTGCTCAGAGAGGCTTTCAAATAAATATGCTTTTACCAGATTCTGTAGTAGAGACATTTTTAGAGGAGACTTCATTTTCCTGAGTATGATCTTTCACATAGCTCTTGATATTTTCCACTGCAGTGTTCTCAATTCCTTGTTCATCTGCATCCCCCAAAGAATGAGCTAAATGACAGTAAGCCTGATGCAGAGCTTCAATGTCACTATTGCTTTGTCCAAAAGAAACACCTGTTGAAATAAATGCAATCGCTAGTTGAGTCACACAACACATCAGAAATATAAAACACTAATAATATCCCTTAATCAGAAATGGTGAACAAAGCTGTCAGACAATAATGACATTATAGAATGAACTATAAACCTTTGTAGTGCACAAATGTAGCACTCTTCCTACTATACTTACTCAAGTCCTCTGCATTGGAGAAAATTATTCCTAAATGCCCCAAACTGACGCAATCCATTTCCGGATTCTGGCTCTCCCTTCCACTGTCACTCACTCATTCTTCCTCTGCTTCCCTATGCCATTAAGCAACCTTTGCATTTCTTCAACTGAGCTTCACTCCTCTAATCTTTCATTCCAGTATGTGCTCCAACCCCTGCCACAGCTGCTATAATCAAAAGCAATGTCCTCGTGGCCAAATCCAGCCATCTGTCATTCTCCTCCACACTGTGCCACATCTCACACTATCTTTTTCCTAGGACTGCTCTTCCCTATACCTTCTTGTTCTTACCTCCATTCTGATGGCTTCTGCTCCATCTTTTTTTTTTTTTTTTTTGTGTGGGACCCTCACCAGCCCAGCGCTCAACCGCTGCGCCACTGGGGGAGGCCCTGCTCCATCTTTTATGACCATCTTCTGGGCTCCACCTTTACCCTCCTTTTAAGCCTCCCCTTTACTTTTTTTTTTTGGCCTGGCTAATATTATCAAGACCCTCAGCTTTAACTATTACCCATATGTTCATGACTCCCAAATCTATGTCTCTGTCCTTACATCTTTTCTGTATATTAATTTCTAACAGACATTTAGATTGTTTTATAAGTAAGTAACATCTAACCTATCCAAAAGTGAATCCTTTACATACCCCCATTGAAATGTGTTTTATTACTAGTGGTTCTTATTATAGTTAATGGCATCACTATTCACCCAGTCATTCAAAATAGAAAACTTGATGTTATTGTTCATTCTTCCTTTCCTATTAACCTTCGTCTTCCACCAACTGATAAATTCTGAAAAGTAACTCAAAGAATCTAATGACAATAGTGATCTATTTTTAACTTTGTAACTTTCATTATCAATAATACGATTTTCAAAATTAGAAAAAAATAAGTCATTGAAAAGAAAAGAGAAGTAGGTCTCCTTTTCTCTGGATACACATGGCTAATTAATGCTTAAAGATAAAATAGCATATACAGTCTCATCTTCCTCTATATAAAATGTAAGTTCCATAGTATACAATTGTGGGGTTATTTTCAACTCTAAATATGTAGCACATAAACGATGGCATAGAATGCCTTACAGTGAGATAACTCTATAGCTGATACTTCGGATCACCACTGCTATTTGAAGCATGCCCAAATAAATCATAGATTTGCTTAAGTAAGTTAAAACTAAAGTGAGGGATGCAGTTAAAAGCAAAATTGCCAACAATCAGATGGCAGGGATTTTCCAACAGAACTTGAGAAGAAAGATCTAGCCTGTTAAGATAAGCTTAATGTTTACCCTAAATCACCTATCAGACGCAGAGTACCATGACTGAAAAAGAGAATAATTTTTATAATGAAAGGAAAAAGATGTCTTTTTCTCCTCTGTAGAATTGTTAGGATGCTTAAGTATCTGTTATGAATAAAAGAAATGATCCCAAAGATGACCACAGTGAATACTTATAACTAATTTAACAGGTGGGAAATGTCAGAAAGAAAAGGCTCAGGCTTTGAAGCAATGGTCAGACAAACAGGAAGAAAAACAAATAGCCTAAAAGTAAGAAATTATAAACAGAATAGAGAGGTTCTAGGGGTCCTCGGAAAACAGAACGGAGAAAAAAGTATTTTCTCCTAACTTGAGTCATTAACCTAAGTGATACTGGAAATAATGCCTGGGCCAAAAAGGCCAACATTTTTCATATATTTTATGAAGGGAGAAAGGGTTGACTTCTTTGCCGTTTATATTAAAAAACAGGACTTTGCAGTTATTTTATGTTACTAAAAGTAAAAACACCCCTATGTCTTTCTGCTTTAGAAAGCTGAGAAGAATCCAGTCCTGTTTCGCGGGTGAGAGGACCTCGCTGTGCAGCAGCACTGTCATCTGTGAGTGCTCTGGTCATGCAGCCACAGCACAGAATGGTGCTTGCCTGTGAGACACAGGAATGTGAGTGAAAGGCTAGATCTGCCCTGGTCTTAGGAAAACTTAATTTTTATAATTAGCAACCTTTTAAATACAGCAAGGCAAGAAAAAAATTCATAAATAATATTTTTAAAGATGATCTTTGACAATGTATTACATAATCGAGCCTGCTAAATACTGGAAAAAAACATGGTTAAAAAACCAACCAAAACAAAAACCTATGATCTTTGTAGTTGTTAAATCAAGTTCAGATGCTGATTTGAAGATTTTCAAATGTATTTTTGAAGTACTAGGAAAATTCAATACCTCAGAGAGATTAAGTATTTACATATATGCCCTTAGGTTGTTTATTAAAACTTAATAGCATTAACAGAAGGTTGAAAAATAACAGTAACGATAACAACCATAAAGTTGGTGCTAATTGTTGAATCTTACTAATGAACAAGGCACTATTCCTTATCTCAGTTTTCTACCACAAGGTTTCATTTTAAAGAAGAGGAAACAGTCTTACAGGAATTGTCCAAAGTCACCCAGCTGAAACTGGCAAAGCTGGGAATATGAAGCCAAGGATACATGTAAGAGTAAGTTCATACTCTACTATCTTCCAGTAATTGACTCATCAAACTATTTCAGAGTCCAGACTTTTCAGAAGTAAGACCAAAAAAACTATAGCTTAATAGAACTATTTGGATCGCTATAGAGAATATTTACTTTCAGCAAGACATTTTTTTACTTTTACCTTCTCTTATAATCTACAGTAGTGGTTTTATACTGTTCACAAAATCATACTGTTTCAGAAAAAATCGTAAGTCCCACAGATGGTTGACTGAAATTTCATTTTAAGTCACATTTAAAAACTATAATAGAAATTAATATGAAACCCCAATGTGCCATTTATATAACTGCAGTATTTTGAAGAAGTTCTGAGTGATTACTTTTGTCTTCTGCTTTGTTCTCATGCATATCTTAGAATATTCTCCGGCCATCTAGTACATATATAAACTTCCTGTAATGTGTATCACTGATTAGAAGAGCTAGGCTCTTACCCTGGTTTTTTAAAGAATTCAAGTCTGCTTACTGAAAACAACTGTGCAAGCAGATCTGCTTGTGAGTAGGCTATGACAGTACATATGTGACATGTACCTACACAGCAGTAAGAATGAGAAACGTGTTTAGTACACACCTTCATCACAGCAGAATTCTCTGTTGGTTAGTAACAAGTAAATGAGTAACGTGGCGTGATGGGAAAATTGTAATATTTGACTTTTATATTTATATTTTAAAATGGAAATGAATAAAAAAAGACAAGAGAATGGTAACTCCTGGAATGGCAGTGACTCAAAATAAGAGATGCTGGGTTATATTTTGGTGTTTGATCAGGTTGTTGGTTACATGGATAAGTTCTGTATTTGAAAATACATCAGATTGCACTATTGTGAGACATGAACTTTTCTATAGGTGTTTTTAATTAAGAAAACAAAAAACAAAATAATGTAAGCACATATTTAGAGTGAGTTAGTAATTTATCATTTATATTGCTCTTTTTCTCCATGTATCTAGATTGGTTTAGTGTGTTCAACTGGTCACACTCAGTTGAACACACTGATCAACTGAGACTTATAAAGCAAGCTGATTAATAAGTTATCCTTTGCCACAATTCATACGCTAAATGAAGAAATTTTTTATACTACACAACAAAAACAAAATACAAAAAGTTAATGAAGGTCTGATGGTGATATTAGATGATAACAACTATTTCTAATTTCTGATTTCAAAAGACCATTATTATTGTCACTAACTTATAAGCATAGGTTCGAAATGCAAACATTTAGATTTATAAAATACCATTTTTACTTACAGAGTCATAAGTAAGATTTCATTTGGAGATGAAGATTTCACTGCTTTAAAAAGGTTTGAAAAGGTACTATCTGAAAGGCCTTTACAACCTTTTGTAAAGTCTAGGTGTCCCTAGGCATTTCAGAATTTTGAGATGTGATTTCCCTCTTTCTGCTATTGAAGAGACTATGGAAAAGCACAAAACAAACATCTCATTGCTCCTACACCCGGCAAATTTAATTATCTGAATACTCTGAATTCTGAATACCCTGGAGGGACACAAAAAATTAGTATTCACCTACTGCTATGTATCAACAGCATTCATTCATTTTTTTAATAAGTGTTCATTTAGAAACAGACTTTAATTGGCATATTAGCATTGAGTGTAACCATTAGCAAGTCAGATTGTTTCAAAATGTGATGTAAAATTTTACCTATATGTATAATAGAAAATGCAAAATTTTATTGTCAATACAGCTATTATGTATTGATAGAGATTGATTATTAAATATTATACAGATAGTCCTAAAAATGAAGTCAAATAGTCATAAAATATTACATATTCAGAGAATACATTTGCAAACATTTTTACCTGTTCCTGTCATTTCATTATCCGTCACTTCTGGCAGGGCTTTGGGCTGAGTTTTTGCTTTATCTTCGCCATCAAAGTTGACCTCTGCAACAGAGTCTAACGAATCAAGCAGCACTACTGGAACAATATAAAAGAAAAAAAAAGACTAAGAATGTAGAGAAATTTGTATGGTTCCTTTAATTAATAAAATATTTTAATAATATAATATTAAAACAAGCCATATTGTTTTTTAAGCAAATAACTTATTACTGTATAACGCAAAGAAAAATGTTTACATTTAAATAATATATAATATTGTAACAAGCATGGTTTTCTTCTCATGTGCAAGAAAGTAGGCTAACATCAACATATGTATCTATGGTTATATAAGTCCCATAACATTTAAGTGTGGAAAGCCTGAGAAAAATAACTAGAAATATTCTAAACCCTTCCCAAACTTTATTGAGACACAGTTGACAATATAAAAAATATATATATTTGAGCTGTATAACTTGATGACTTGATATATGTATAAACTGTGAAATATTCATCACAATCAAGCTACTTAACATATCTACCACCCTAAATAGCTACTTGCATGTGTTAAGAATGTTTGATTTCCCGTCTCAGCAAATTTCTCTTATACAATATTAACTATATTTATGTTGATGTACATGTGATCTCTAGGACCGTCTTGCATTACTGAATCTTTGTGCCCCTTCAACAACATTTTCCCACATCCCATCCCCCTAGTCCCTATTAACCTTCATCCTACTCTGTTCTTATTTTAGATTCCAAATATAAGTGAGATCATGCAGTATTGTCTTTCTGCATCTGGTTTATTTCACTTAGCATTATGTCATCCACATTGCCCCATGCTGTTGAAAATGAAAGAATTCCCTTTTCTTTTAAGGCTCAATATTATTACACTGGATATACACACACAGCAATAGGTAGTTTTCTTTAACCATTCATCCATCAATGGACATTTAAGTTGTATCCATATCTTGGCTATTGTGATAATGCTCCAATGAACATGGGAGTAGAGATCTCTCTTCAAAATATATCTCCAGAAATGGGACTGCTGGATTTTAATTTTATTTTTATTTACAGTTTTTTTGTGTTTTTTTTCAGGAACTCATGTTGTTTTCCATAGGAGCTATACCACTTTACATTCCCACCATGTGTACAGGAGTCCATTTTTCCACACTCTTCCCAAAAAGAAGTGGGGATAACTCAAGCTATTTTTATTTGCATTTATCTGATTAGTGAAGTTGAGACTCTTTTCATATACCTTTTGGTCATTTGTACATCCTCTTTACAAAAATGTCTATTCGAGTCCTTTGCCCATTTTTAATTTGGGTAAGTAGATTGTTTTTTTCCTATTGAGTTTCAGGAGTTCCTTGTATATTTTAGACATAAACACCTTCCGGGATTACAAGTATTTTTTCCCATTCCATATTGTTCTTTTAAATTTTGTTGATGGTTTCCTTTGCTGTACAAACATTATTAGCTTGATGTAGTCCTACTTATTTATTTTTGCTTTTGCCTATCTTTGGTTTCAGTGTCAAATTGGAAAAAAAAAAAATCACGGTCAAGATCGTCAGGGAGCTTATTTCCTATGTTTTCTTTTAAAAGTTTTATGGCCACTGGTCTTATGTTCAAGGCTTTAATCATTTTGAGTTGATTTCTGTGTATGGAGTATGACAGGCTTCCAGGTTCACCTTTTGCATATCACTAGCTAGTTTTTCAAATATCACTTATTAAAGAGACCATCCTTTCATCACTGTGTATTCTTGGCACCTTTGTAAAAAATTGATCATATATGCAAAACTGACATATATGCAAAAATTAATTATCACATTTCTAGCTTCTTTATTCCATGATCTATGTGTCTATTTTTTAATGCCAATATCATACTGTTTTGATAATTTTGTAATAGCTTGAGGTGCAGAAGTGTGATGCTTCCAGTTTTGTTTTTCTCAATATTGCTTTGGCTAGCTGGGGTCTTTCATGGTTCCAAGTGAATATTAGGATTGCTTTCTCTATTCCTTTGGAATATTGATAGAGATTACACTGAATCTATAGATGAGCAGTATGGACATTTAAATAATATTAATTTTTAAAAATCATGAACATGGATTATCACTTTTTTAATATCATCTTCTATTTCTTTGTCAAAGTTTTATAGTTTTCAATGTACAGAACTTTCATCTTGCTTAAATTTAAACATAAGTATTTTATTTTTTGATGCTATTGTAAATGGAATCATTTTCATATATTGTTTTAGTTATCAAGGTAATGCTGGCTTCATGGAATGAATTTGTATAAGTTTCTCTCTTTCATTTTTTGAAAGAGTTTAAACATTAGCATTAAGTCTTCTTTGAACATTTGACAGATTTCACCCATAAAGTCACCTGTTTATGGGCTTTTAAAATAGCAATATTCTTAAATATAAAAGGCAAGATTCAAGACAAGTATAAGGGATACACTATTGAGAAAATCTGTGATCTTTAACTCATTAGTGATTTTTTTAAAGACATTGACTTATTCAGAATTAATTAGGTATAATTCTGAACAGAACAATTTTTTGTCAATATACATAATATTTACCGTTAGCCAGCATGCCAGTTTTCTCTTCTTCCTAAATTAAGAGATAAAATAATCATATGATCTGAAAACAGTTATATAAAATGACCACAGTGTAAATAATAATAAAATTTGAAAGCCAGTGCTTTATTCCACTATGAAAAGATCAGGAAACGTACTTTTTAGTTCTTTTTCACCAATAATTTTACAAGACTAAAGGTTATAGTTGTGAGAGACATCTAGAATGTACCAGTAATGAACTTACATCTTAATAAGAGTTGTTTAAAGTAATTACATGTCATCTGTTTGTCTACCCTACATAGAAATTCTTCAGTTTTTTAAACTATAATATAACATGGCTATTTCACATAGACTCCATTATTATAAAATCACCAATCTTTTTCCCCTTATTGTTTAAAATTAATGATCAGGGCCACCCTGGTGGTGCAAGGGGTTAAGCACTGCACTATGAAGCAATCCACAGCCTCTGCAGCACAAGTTCGATCCCCGGCTGGCCAGGGAGCAACCTACATGGCGAGGCAGACCTCTCCTGTTTTGCCCGCTGCTCCCCTCAGCAGTTATTTCAGTCAGTCTGCCTGTTCTGTTCCCTACTCTGTCTCTGGTGAATCCTCTCACCCCCCCGCTTCTCTGACCTGTACCCTAGCTCTTATATTCATAAATAAATCTTCAAAAAAAATAAAATTAACAGGCCTCCCCTGGTGGTGCAGTGGTTGAGTGCTGGGCTGCAAGGCTACCCGCAGCCTCTGCAGCGCTGGTTCGATCCACAGCTGCCAGGCGAGGGTCCCAGATGGCACGCAGACCTCTCCTGCTGTGCCTACTGCTCCCCTCAGCAGTGTACTTCTTCAGTCTGCCTGCTCTGCTCTCCCCTCTGGCTCTGGTGAATTCTCTCACCCTCCTGCACTTCTGACTGTACCCAGTGCTTGTATAAATAAATAAATCTTAAAAAAAATTAAATTATGGGCCTCCCCGGTGGCGCAGCGGTTGAGCGCTGGGTTGCGAAGCTGCCCGCGCCCTCTGCGGCGCCGGTTCGATCCCTGCTCCCCGGCCACCGGAGGAGGATCCCACGTGGCGCGCAGACCTCTCCAGCCGCCCGCTGCTCCCCTCAGCAGTGTGCTTCGGTCCTTCTGCCTGCTCTGCTCCCCGCTCTGGCTCTGGTGAATTCTCTCACCCTCCCGCGCTTCTGACTGTACCCAGTGCATGTATAAACAAACAAATAAAATAAATAAATAAATAAAAAACATGCCTCTATAAAAAAAAAAAAAATTAAATTAAATTAACGATCAATTATAACTTGTATTGTTATATCTGCAATTCAAGAGATAAAAATTTTAAAACCTCAGGTCACCAATGGCAAGATAGTTGAAATTTGTCAACATAATAAGTTAGCTTAGGCGAATTTTCTATTGAGCGTCACTTATATCCTCTATGCTTTAGTCAGTATATAGGATCATTACATAATAATAATTTTTAAGCCTTTCCTATTTTGATCTTTACACAGAAGGTTCTTTACGAGACTTCCAAGTTTAGTTATACTTATTATAAGCTTAACTTATGATAAGTTATATTTATTATTATAAGTCTGGTTATATACTTATAACCAAAGTATATACTTACACTTGTTATAATTTTGGTTATATACTTAAATACTTATAACCAAAATTATAGTAAGTATAACCAAGTTTAGTTAAACATATTATCCATACCTTCCACTGACCTATTTATTTTTCAGTAATAAAACTACCTTGCCACTGGTGATATGAGTTTTGAAAATTTTATCTCTTGAATTGTAGATGAAACAATACAAGTTATATTTGATCATTAATTTTAAATAATAAGGGAAAAAGACTGATGATCTTATAATAACAAGAGCCTATGTGAAATTTTATTAAAAATTATGAAAAATTTTACTTATTTGCAATCTTCCAGTATAAATCCCACTGTTTCTAAGGATAATCATCAGATCACATTCACATTAATCTGCCTCAAATTATAAGGTCACCTTGCTCTCACCCGCCAAAACTGAGTGATGTAAGGACATTCAAGGACTAAGTACTAGGCAAATTTTAAAATAAAAGTGTTTATAAAAACCGAAAATGCTTCATAGTCTATGGCTTTACACATGTTCAAAACATCTAGTCCTAACACACAGTGCCAAAAGAGATTATTACCCAGATCAAGACCAATATAACAAATAGTAACTACCCTCCTAGTTACTATTAGGTAGCTTCAAGAATAAGTTCTGTCTGGCAGACAATATGTACTGTATCCTTAACCAGTCTTGGTAAGAACTGACAAGCAAAAAAATTAGGGTATAGCAACATTTAATGTGAACTGAATAATTTAATTCATTGTTAGTCAAGTAATTTTCACACAGTAATACTGCTTCTAACATAAATACAGAGAAGAAAAATCGATTATACTCCACAATGACAAGACCTATGAAAGAAAGTATAATTTAATATACTTGTTTAAAAATTAGATTTGATATTTTGTTTTCAATTTAATTTTTTTTAAAGATTTATTTATTTATTTAAGAACTGGGGTACAGGCCAGATGCACGGGAGGGTGAGAGAATTTACCAGAGACAGAGCTGGGAACAGAACAGGCAGACTGAGGAAATACACTGCTGAGGGGAGCAGCGGGCATGACAGGAGAGGTCCGCCATGCCATGTGGGACCCTCGCCAGCTGGCCGTGATCGAACCGGCGCTGCAGAGACTGCAGACAGCTTCAAAGCGTGGCGCTCAACCACCTGTGCCATCAGGGGAGGCCCTGTTTTCAATTTCTTTCTTTCTTTTTTTTTTATGGGATATTACAGCATGTATTTTTCAGCATTTCACCTTTTTTTTTTTTTAAGATTTATTTATTTATTTATACAAGCACTGGGTACAGTCAGAAGCGCAGGAGGGTGAAAGAATTCACCAGAGTCAGAGAAGGGAGCAGAGCAGGCAGAAGGACCGAAGTACACTGCTGAGGGGAGCAGCGGGCGGCAGGAGAGGTCTGCCCGCCATGTGGGACCGTCCTCCAGTGGCCGGGGAGCAGCTGGGGATCGAACCGGCACTGCAGAAGCTCTGGCAGTTTCTCAACCCAGTGCTCAACCGCTGAGCCACCGGGGAGGCCCTCTGTTTTCAATTTCTAAAGCTTAACTCAAGGCAATTACATGCCAAAAGCAGTCTTTTAGAAAATGATCGATTCTAATGCTATTTCATTAAGATTTAGACCTAAATTGACAAACTGAACTAAGAAAATGGCTGTGTTTTAAGAGACCTATAACTTTATAACAATGAATAAGACTTATCATATAGTAACAGTTTGCTAAGGTAATAAATGAACTGTAAAATATATAACTGACATATACCTGTTTGGGTGTATTTATTTTTTCTGTTTTGGAAATTTCTTTGGAACTAGTCTCTTCATCATTAGTAGTCAAAGGTGCATCAATATCTTCATTTTCAAAATCATCACTGTAATTTTCTGAAGAAAATAATGTAAAAATATACAAGGTTCATACTCAAAGTCAAATTTAGGAAAAGATTGGTGATCTCCAAAGGAAGAATTCTGCATAAGAATAATTTATTGAAATATTAACATAAAGATACTTTTAGAGAACATTTTTTGCAAAGATTTAATAAAAATTAATAAAAAATACTGTAGGTTTATCTTTTTTTGTACTTTCAAAAAATTATGAGTTTTATAGTTTTGATTTTTGACTTTATTAATCAAATAAAAATTTCAAGAGTTGTCCAAAGACAAAAATTTCATATTTGTTTTTTAAAAACAAAACTCTTAAGTTGCTTCCTTACAAAAGGTCATACATTTGTGAAATCTTGCCACTCTTAAAAAGATTGAATTTTGATTTCTCTTTTATAAGTTGTATTTTTTGGTTTCTATAGGTATTTCTACTGTAAGTCTTATCACTACTTATATCAGGTTGATTTCTAACCTTTTGACCTCCTTAGCTTTCCCTATTCCTTCGGTAAATATTGGCCCTTTATGACCATCATTGTTTCCCATTAATTCTCAGTGAAGTCCCCAATTCTATCTTGATGGCTTTGCAGAACAGAGAGGGTATCAATGTTAACATATATAAGTGATCTTCCCCCATCACTTATGGGGAAGATGGGGCAGGAATTATCTGACAACATCTCTTTGTCAATTTTTAACTTGTTGCTTTATACCTTTTAAATCAGAGGACTGATTGAAATCTGCAGATTCTAATGGAAAGAGAATGGCCTTTTTCAGAGAAAAACCAATCATCCGAGAAAAAAGCATCATCTTACTGTATTTTAAAAATTAAATATCACATTCAGCAATGGGGTGGTCTGATGGGGAAAGACTGTATGATTTACCAGAGAGTCTACGTCTGGAATGGCTGTCCTTTAGTATTTTCTCAGAATGAAGCATAGAACTTAAGTGTAATTAACAATGGAAGTTTGAAAATTAATTCCAGAGGGCTTACAAGTTAAATCAAGATGTCTCCTATGATATCTGGCTACAGAAATATCTTCACTTTAGTTCACAAGGAAAACAGCCTGGGTTTTGTAACCTAGATAAGTTAGGTTAGTTGGTGAACTACATTAACACCTATACTCAAAGGCTGAGAGGCTCACCTTTGCTTCTTGTCCAAATGAGAAAGAACATTGTTTGGGATTTTTTAAATATCAGTAGATATAAGTCACAAAAAAGCTATTGAAAAAAACTTAACATTACGCATATTTCTATATCCTAGGACCAATAAACAATATTTAAGAATCTGAGAGTAAAGATAGAAACCAGTGAATTTTAAGTAACCTTAGAAATTATACTTGCTTTAAATGATGAACAAAGAGAGAAGAGCTCTGGGAAGGTATGACAATGAATTTAGACTAATGACATGAAATCAGAAGGGGATATAGTATTTGACAGCAAAAAGACAAGAACAAGAAATAGCTCAGGCAGTACAGCATAGCACTTAAGTATAGCATAGCTCAGGCAGTACAGCATAGCATTTCTGGTTCTAATTTTGCTATAGAAGGTTTTAATTTTAGCTATAGAAGGTTAGCATGTCATACATTTTCTCTTCCTCACTATTCCCATCTATAAAATATAAAAAAAAATTATAATAAACAATAAACCCTTTGAGTATTTATGTCAGAGTTGCTGACAAGAGTTAAAGTATTTACAACAGTGGCTGATTTATAACATCAACTATATATAAGTGTTATCTATTATGTTTAGTAGTAGTAATTATCTTTGCTAGTATTATTATAGCCAGTATTGCATTTAATCCTGACTGAAAGTTAATAAAGTCAAATATGTTTTATTGGGAAAAGTGCTAATCTAATGTGTGATTTTCAAAACTACATTTTTATAAATGTACTTAGTAAGTGAACAGTCATAGGCAAATACTACTGTCCAAATATATAATTGATATATACCACCCCCAGGAATTTGTCAGGAATAAAGTAGGCTTGAAGTTGGACAGAAATATCATTGGTAGACAAAGAGAAAAGAAATGGAAATAAAGGAAAGGAAAACAACATATCAGAGATTTAAAAAAAAAAAAACAAAAACAAGGCAAATTAAGCTTATATGAAAACAAAAGAACAAAACCAAATTGAAGGCATGGAGAAATATAAAATATAGGAAAAATATAAAATATAATATCTAGGTTCTTCCATATTCTTTGAAAAACAATGAGAATATAATTTATAGTGTCCTGACCTTTTAGGAAGAAAGATGTCATACATTCAAGGTTAAGAATGTTTCCATTATTTTATTCCCCACCCTTCTAACCTTGAAAATAGTATTTGCATAAGTAGAAAATGTTTTTAAAATTCAAATAAAATAAATAATACTCAATATAAAAGACTAAAAGATCCTTTTTGGAGATATTTCTTATTATTTGTTTGAAAATTTATGTGCAGGTTTTTTAGTATGATGAAAGCTAGAGGACTTTCTCCCTAGCCATAATGGATTTAAGACTTTGAAAACAACTGATAGATTGAACAAAATAGATAAAACAACTATTTTTAGACATCGGCCAAATGGCAGTGTAGAATGTGATTCCTAAGAAATGATAAACAAATGAGCTGGGACCTTTACTTGCCTGATGGTAACTCCAGAGGCAACTCTGGAGTGCTGACCAGGACAGGGAGATCAGGACTGCCTCACCATGTTGAGAAGATACAGACAACTGTTAAGGAAGGCTCAAGAGGGCACTGACAGAGGAGGTAGCTATGTAAAAACAGAGCTCTAGAAATGGGCTTAAAGGTTCCCCTGAGTCTTTGCTGACTACTAAGCTCTTTCTGTATAGTTTGAGCAAACAACAATTGGGAAGCTACAGGATGCACAGTTCCAAAAATTCACACAGGAGAAAGAGTTAATGGAGCACTAAGCAGCTTGGGTGGAAAAAGTCCTCACTTAGGGCCTCCCTGGTGACGCAGGCAGTTCAGCACCACACTATGAAGCTGTCCTCAGTTTCTGCAGCGCGGGTTCCATCCCGGCCAGCCGGCGAGAATCCCACATGGCGAAGCAGACCTCTCCTGTTTCGCCCGCTGCTCCCCTCAGCAGTGTATTTCTTTAGTCTGCCTGTTCTGTTCCCCACTCTGTCTCTGGTGAATTCTCTCACCCTCCTGTGTATCTGGCCTGTACCCTGGTTCTTGTGTAAAAATAAATCTTTAAAAAAGAAAAACAAAATAGAAAAAGTCCTCATTGATCAATAGGGTAATCAATGGAAACCTGAGAAGCACTGTGCCTTAAGCAGTGTTGAACTTTACCAAGAGTAAAGACTACTCTAGAATTCCCCTAACAAAGCATAAGAAAAATCTCCAAAGGATCAAACTGGCAGGATCAATAAAATGCCAGAACAAAACTCACCACTCTTTAAAAGAAAACAAAATCCACATACTCAGCAACATAAAACTCTGCAATATCAAACACCCACAAAAAAATCATTAGATTTCCAAGGAGAGAAAATGACCAATAAGAAGAAAATGCAATCAATAGAAAACCAGAAATGAATAAACACTGAGATAGCAAAATATGCAAAATATTGAGGTCTTGGGGCAGGCGGAGGGGGCGGTTGTTATTGAGGAAAGATATTAAAAATGCTAAAAAAAAAAAAAAAAAGGACCTAAAGGAAATGCCTGCAGTGAAAGAAAAATAATCATTCAATGACTTAACAGATTAAAGAAAAAGTTAGTGAACCTGAAAACAGAGCAATAGCAATTGAAGAGAGAAAAAAAAGCTTGATAAAATAAAAGTCTTAGCGACCAATGATAGAAAATTTTGCTTTCTAACATACTTACATAATTTTAAATAAGAATCAGAGGGCAAGGGCAAGTGTGGGAGGGCACTCCTATGAAATGGTATTCTAAAAGGAAAATCTAAAAGAGACTCATATTGTGAATCATAGGGCGACGAAGAAAAAAGTCCTACAGCAAAGAGTTATTTATAAATAACAGGCCTAAAGAAGGGATAAAATGGAATGCAATAAATACTCAATCCAACTGAATATGGGACAAAAGCAGTCACAACAACAAAAAAGATGGGAGGGTAAAATCAAATGGCAAAACAGTAAATAACCATAACCATTAGGATAAAGATATTTTTGTAAAAGGTAGAAACCTTTCAATTAGAAGTTAGAGACTGTTAGACTGGGTCAAAAAGCAAAAGCTAGCTTTATGTTATCTACAGGGAAATCATTTTAAATATAATCATACATAAATCAAAAGATAGAGAAAGGAAGATAAATTACTTCTCCAAATATGCTTTAGAGGTATCTATCCTGGCCTCTACGGATTTCCCCAATCCTAGCACAAAATATCTTTTTTTTTCTGTCTTCCCAACTGGTCCATTGTCCATTCATAGCAAATAAGGCAGCAAATGAGACGCTTTTAACAATTTCTTAGTAGCTCAGATTGTGACATAAGCAATTAACTCTGTATGTCCAAAGCTCTTTTCCAGACAGTATCATTTTTCTTTTAACTATTTTTCTCTTATGACTTTATTAAAAGCTTTATTATCTTTTCAAATATTGCACATTTTAAAACCCATGGCATTACCTGCCAGTTCTTCATACTTGAATTCATTTTCATGTTTATCTTCAGTTAGTTCTATATTAGCTTGATTACTGGAGAAAAATCATTTAATTTAGTATTACACAATAACACATTTCTATGCAATCTTTTGTATATAGTTTTTAAAATCTCTAACATACAGTTTTCTCAATTATGCTTGTTCTATCCAAAGCTAAAAACCTAAGAACCATAAGAAAAAGAGGCTTAAAGTCGAAGACTAATGGTAATTGCCAAAGCACTACCAAAAAAATAAATAAATAAATAAATAAAAATGCTGTTTAACTTTCTACACAAATATACAAAATTTTATACATAAATGCGTGCAATAATTTGTATATGAAATCACAGGGCTCATATATCCCTTTTAAACTAAAGATTAGGAATTCACAAATTATGAGAACCAGTGAAGTCCACATGGAGGGCAGAAAAAATGCCATGGTCAGCATTTATAAGCTAATAAGCAATTTAATCCTGAAATGGAAGATAAATTCCTATTTATCTGAAATCAAAAACTCTGCAAGGAGACAAAAGGAGTTTGAACAAGTTTAAATTATATTGGCTATATTAGTTCATGCATAGCTTTCTTTCAAACCAAGAAATCAATTCTACCCTTTTCAGTCCACAATCATTAAAGTGAGATTATTATCAGATCTAAGAAACTATGACTATTAGAACAGCAGACACTTGATAGAGCATATTCAACACTATGCTGCAAACTGCCTAGACTGTTCTGCAGTAGCAAAATGAGTGGATAAGAACGTTGTTAAGAAATAAGAACAAGTTAAGAAATATTGCAAAGGGGCAAAAAAATGTGTGGCAAACATATCTGTGCATGCTTAAATTGTATTGTCACTGTTGGGGCAGTCACCATGAGCTCTGAGTGTCCTTACACATTCTTGCTGGGTATGCCAATAAGGCCCCTCTTCTCTAAATCATTTCTCAGAGTGGTGTTTGCAGTGAGCAACCTTGTGAGATTGAGGCAATGTTTCCACCCAAAGAGCAGGTTTATTTCCACTTACAGAGAAAGCAACAGATTCCTCAAGCACAGCAACCCTTTCCTGTAAAGCAACTGACTGCATGGGTCGACTCTCATCATGGGCCCTTGTGTTACGTAACCTCTGTATGATTGGTGGGACATGGGGAAACGGAGGCAAATAAACATAACACTCAGGGTCTATTTTTATGAGAAATGAAGTCCTTTGTTTCTGACTCAGGAATCTTGGGTCTGTTGTCAGCATCTATATATAAAACTGGCAGGATAACTTGTTAGCTTAAAATTAAGGTGACAATCTCAGACCCTGCAGTTTGTAAAGTCACTGTTCTGCTTCCTCCACTATCTATAAGAAGTGTCTTGAGGAAAACATGCACTCTAACAAGAGGTTATGATTGTCCTCATGCCTATAATTATATTTTGGTGTCCGTAAAATCTTAGTTACAATCAGACTTTCATTTATAATTCAAAAAATTAAACTGAAACTGAGGAAATTAAAGACATCGGGGTTCACAAAGGACTTGAAAATATCAGAAGTTTACTGCATTCAGAGAGAACCAGCTGAATCTCTAGTAGGTTTCTTGGTGGTCATCAGTGTCAACCATGTACAAAAGCTGGACACAGACCAAAATGTCAATGTTTTGTACTTCCCCTTCCCTTTCAGTTTCTTTATCCCTCAGTTTATAATAGCTACTGGGAGCTCTTACCTAGTTATCAGTGGAAAACCACTGAATAAGTTACTTCCCACTCAAGTCTGTGGCATATACCAAAAATAAAGAGAAACAAAAAAATTATTTAATGATTATAGTATATTTACAATACCTATGTAAATCTTTAAATTGTGTGGAGTCATTAGAATCCAATTCCTTATTTAGTCTTGAATAATCAATGGAAGATGTTAAGCCTTTCTCTAGTCTGGCAAAAAACTGCTCTTTTTCCTCTTGTTCTTCCAATGTGTCCAATCCCAGTCCAAGAACACTATGATTGAGCTCAGAAACTACTATCTCTAAATAGAAAGAACAAATAAACTTTATTAATATACACAATTTTGATGAAATTAATGTAAAGATTATTGACATTAAAAATTAAATTTTTAAAAAATATAAAAACAATCTTGCACTTACAAAATATTTATGTTTATAGTCAATATGCAGTGTTACAAGGTTTCTCTAGAGGTGCAATTCTCAACCTTCAAGGAAGATATTAAATCTGTTTACATGGTTCAGCAAAGGTGGCGCCAAAGTAGTTATGAGATGATTTTTATAAAATATTTTGATTATAAGCATAGTAATTAATAAACTGTCACCTCATATTCCTTATATTTCTTACCGTTTGTTTCTAAGCTGTCGATACTTAAGATAGAGGTTCCACTGCTCTTAAGAAATTGAATCCTTTCAGTAGATTCTTCTTCTATATCCAAAATGGGCTGTGAAGTCTTTTTGGTTTTTAAGTAGCTTACATTTGTCCCAACCAGTCCTAAGGATGGTATTGAATATAGTTAGATATTTATGCTCAAAAAATTGCATTGACTATTATGCCAACACAGTATAATACTTATTTTGTGGACTAAAGCTACGAAACAGATCTGGTTTACAAAATGAAATGCATCAGACCTAAAGTTCCCAAAAGAAAAATTACAGCTCTACTTGTTTTCATAGCATTTTAACAGACTTTTTAAAATTGCATAATGAGACAAGATTTTTATTTTTTTTTTAAATTTTTTTTTGAGATAAGATTTTTAAAAACTGTTTTGTGGCACAATTACTTAACAGAGTATACCATGAGACTGTGACTATATGAAGGAAGAGCAGGACATACTGCGTGAGCTGTTCCAAGCAGAGAAAGAGAAGGCACACACATATAGTCAACAATGGGAGGGGCAGGTCACATTTGTAAACAAAAGGGTCAGTGAGGTTGGATCTAGAGTTTGAAGGTGAGCCTGGCAGGAAATAAGCCCAGAGTAGGCACTGTTGGTCAGACTAAGTTTGGCCTCACATGGTAGGGGTAGGGTTTTGCTCTTTATTTGAAAAGCACTAAAAATTAACACAAAAAAATCTGTAACCTCAAAATTTCTTTACCTTAATGGTATATATTTGATGTAAAAAAACTGATATGTGGTTAAAGTAAATAATTACATTGGGATAGAAACATGAAAACTAGAAAAATACCACTTTTACTGAGAAGGAAGTTTTACTAAGTATTCAGAAATTCAGACTTACATCTCCTAACTAGTATCCTCTTAGAAAGGATTTAAAATTCATTTATTTTATGACTGTGTGAGTAATGGTTTTACTGAATCAAATAATTTCTACACAGCTGCATACATACTGCAACAGACACTCCAAATGAAAATGTGCACGTTGAGGTTGGGGTGCTCAGAGTCCCACTGTGGCTCTGAATCGACTCAGACATGTGACCACACAAGATGTGAATCAAGCTCACAAGAGACTAATATAACAGACGTCAAAATCCAGTAGTTATTTATAATGAAGAATATAACTGGTTAGAGTAAGATCAGATCAGTTCAACCTCTTAGAAGAGCATGCCATCATCTTATGGCAATTGAAAAAGAAAGTAAAAGGGTAGAAGTTTGCTCCATGTTGATATTTAAAGGTGTCTATACAACAGTGGTAACGCAATCTTCATCCAGGGTATTTAATTCTCATTTAACACTAGGCACTCTTGATGACAAGATTTTCTTGTCTTTGTGCATAAGTGCCTAGTATAGGAACATAACTTTAAGTCAATAAATGTTTGTGATTGAACCAGGGACCAGGTTATACCCTTGAGCAAAGATTTCCTCTCCCCTGAGTTCAGATAAGACATTTTCAAAGTTTGCTTAAGTATTACTAACCAAATCCACCTCTAATTGATATATTCTTTAAAAAAAATACCTTTAGTCAGGCAACATTCAAATGTTTTATCTAGGACCTATTTTTGCCTTTAGAGTGAGTTTACAGATGCCTTCTCCTACGTATTACTTTCTAGAAAAGAGACTTTCATGCTAATTAAGCTCCAAATCTTTGTCAACAACTCCAACAGTACTTCATCATCCTTTTCAAGTACCAACAGGGGAAAGGTTTCTAAAAAACAATTCTTCATATGCAAACTTCATAGTTGGATAATTTAGGGATTTATTAAAAATGCACAGAATTTCTCAATAAGGCACTTCCTTATGATACAGTATTAAGAACACAAAGAAGTGACTGTCAAATTTAATCTAGCATTTATTTATCAAATACTTTTATTATTTACTGTTGAGGATCAGGGAGCAAAAGAAAATAGAAGTATTTTCTGGTTCCAGAAAGCTCCTAACCTCAGGAACAGCCCTATAGGTTACCACTATTAATATAAAGTTTGATGGTCTTTCAACATAAGAACAAAGGAGAAAATAATTGTGAAGACAGGGAGTTAGAAGAGTTAGGGCAGGTTTGCAAAAAAGAAGTAATACCTAACTTTACTGGACAAAAGAGGTGAGAAAAAGGCATTCCAGTGGCAAGTAAGCATGAGCTAAGGAACGGAGGCATGAAGCCAAGGGTGTTTTCAGGAAATAAAGAATAATTGAGTGTGGCTGCAGTCATGAGGCTAGAAAGGAGGGTTCCAGTTAGAGCCTTAACTGTTCACATAAAGGAATTCTGGGGCAATTTTATGTGCAAAACAATAGCCACAGGTTAATTTTTGTGAGAAAATTTCTGTATCCCTACAGAAGAGATAAAAAAATACTATAGGTATACAAAATAATGTTTACAAAATAGTGTTTAACACTAATCCACACAAAGCGTAAACACTTAATATAAGTATTCTGGGGTTCCTTATGGATATGTAAGTATACTGAAGAAAACACTAAAGAGTAATTTTCCATTTATAATGCCATGACTAGAAACAGTTTTGGTTAAGATATTTACATGTGCCAGACAAAATCAATAATGAGTTTTTCACATTAAAGCAGTAAATTATTAGCAACAAGCAGTTGCTAATAGAATGATACCAGAATCTATAGATTTATTAAAATCTTCCTGATACAATAAAATTAACGCATTGCCAGAATATTTTATTAAATCACCAGGTCAATTTTATATTAAACATAATATATACCTATATTATTCATCACCTTAATTTGAACAGAAAGCTCTTAATGTAAAATAATACGATATGCAGAAACATATTCTCAAATATATAAATATATAATATTGTGAAATAATACGAAAATCAATTCAAATCTCAAAAATTCACATTATCATTATTATTTTCTTTATATACGTATAGCACCATAGCAAAACCCAGAATTGAAAGTATTGACTGACCCCTTGTGGTCAAATAATTTAAAAATGAAAATCAGCAATATTTACCACCATCTTCAAAATCATCCTCAGTTATCCACCATGGCACTGTGTCAATCTTTTTCATTTCCTTTTTAGGTTGTCTAAGTGTATTGTTTGAATTTTCAAAAGAGTCATCTGAAAGCTGAATCAGACGCAAAATTATGTTCTGAATTCAAGAATCACATTCATCATTAAAAATGTTTCTATTCATTCTCTTAGAATTTAGCTATTACATAAACAACAGTCTCAGCAACAATGTATGAATTAACATCTTTAAAAGTACGTAGACAAAATAACTTAAAAAAAACCAAACATAGATTTCTAAATATCAACTTCACACAGAGATTTAAAGAAGCAGACTAACTTAAGAAAAAAAAAATATCAACAAGAACAAAGAAATAAAAAAAAATTGATGAAGAAATTTAATCAGGAAAGGAAAATGAACCAATTGTCTGCTAGACATTCTTTAGGGTCTAAGAATAATTATTAAGCAAAATTACCTAGTATCACTCTGGAAGAATACACAATCCCAAAACCGGGAAGAACTAAATTTCAGGTGTTTGTCAGAGAAATTAGAATTTTGTTACATGATATATAAATTTTAATAAACTTTTATGAACATCTCTGGTTTTTAGCCCCAAATTTTACTACAGTACTAAATCCCCTACTCTAACCCCAAACTACCCCCCCTCACTCTCGGCTACTAACTTGCGGAGTCAAACAGATCTGATTCAGATTTCAACTTCAAAACATTTTAGCTATATTATTTATGAAAATTTAGCTTTTTAAATTTATTCATATGCAAAACAAGCATAGTAGCACTTAACTTGCAGGGTTGTGGAGAAGATCTAATGCAGCACTACTATCTAACGAAATTCTCTATTCTCCACAATCTTCCATATTGCTTTCTAGATTACTATCATCAAAAACAAAACAAAAAGCTAATCCCTAGATAGTAACAGCACTAGTGTGGATATGGAGAAACTGGAATATAACATGCTAATACACCACTGATGTGAAGTTAAAATGGCATACAAAACAGCCTGGCAGTTTCTCAAAAGGTTATACAGAGTAACTATGTGACCTAGCATTTCCACTCAAGCTCCTAGGTATATACACAAGAGACATGAAAACATACATTCACACAAAAAGCTAAATAAACCGTTTATAGTAGCATTATTCACCACTGAGAAAATGTGGAAAGGACTCAAATATCCATTAAGTCAAAATGTGAAAGAATTAAAACATCCATTAATTGGTAAGCAGGTAAACAATACATGGAACATCCATATATTATTCAGTTATAAAAAGGAATGGAGCACTGAGAGATGCCATCACATGGAAGACTTGAAAACATCAGGCTAAGTGAAAGAAGCCAGTCACAAACGCTACACATTGTATGATTCCATTTCTAAGAAGTGTTTATAATAGGTATATTCTCAGAGACAGAAAGTACATTAGTAATTACCTGAGGCTGGGTAAGGCTACAACTAAGGTACAGGGTTTCATCTGGGGGTGATAAAAATGTTCTAAAATAACTGTGATTGTGTAACTAAGAATATATTAAAAACCACCAAATCAGATATTAAATGGGTGAAGTGTATGCTACGTAATATCTGAATAAAGCTGTAAAAAAAAGTCAATCCAACCAATTTCCTTAAAAACAAAGTTACATAAACTGTATCTGTGAACAACCTGAGCAATAACTTATCAGAATAACATAAGAAACCAGCATGACTCTGAAAACATGGTTGTTTGTTGTTAAAAATAAAACACTGCCTTATCCAACTCTCTAACATAAGAGTTTTTGTGAGTTGAAGATATTCAAGATATTCAAGTTGAAAATAAATACAAGATATACTTAGAAATGTGATAGTTACCTTTAACTGTATAAATAGAAAAAAAAACTTCTCTGGTATAAACTGATTTTTTTTTAAATATTTTTTATTGAAATAACACTGCATTATGAAATCATGTAAGTTTCAGGTGTGCAAAATGAAAAATCAATATGGGCATATGCTAAAAGTCTAATTCTAAGGTACTAATATTTAAAATGAGATCTTTACCAGCCAGGTAAAGAATAAGGAAACAGCCTTACTGGAAGAGGGAACAGGTAGCTTAAAGCTCTTTAATGAAACAAGTTTGGCGAGACTGGGGAAGAAAAAACGTCAGCATAGTCTAAGTGGATAAGGAAGAGTGATACAGTCAATGAGGTAGGCATGAGTAAAATCATGAAAACCCCAGAAAGGAGGTAGGATTTTACTGTAGAAGAGGGGATGCCAATAGAGTGTTTTATGTTAGGAAGAAACAGAAGCTGACTGAGGTAATGACATGCTGACTGCATGGTGGTGAGGGAATTCTGGGACAGTATCTGGGAACTGCTGCAGTAACCCAGGTGAGATGACAGTGTTCCCCACTAGGATGGCAGCAGTGAAAAGGGGGAGAACTGAAGGGTAACTGGTATATTCTGGAGGCAGGGCTGACAGAACTTGGTTATAGACTAACTGTATCCAGAGGCAAAAGAGAATCAAAGGATGAGTCTCTTGTGAGACAAATTTAAATACAGCTTTTAAACATTAAAACTTACCTCTTTCATGAATTGTTCAAACTCTTCATCCAACTTTTCTTTGGAATAGTGAGTCATAATCAATACTTTTCTTCTTCCAAAGTAAACATTCCAAGATATTTCTAACACTGGAAACACTAAACAAAAGGTATAAACATCTTTTGAAGAAATGATGTTACAGCATTGAAAACAACCAGAATTAAACTTGAGCTGTTTCTCTTAGGATTTAGAATATATGTGCACAATTACTGACCAGTTAGCTAGATAAAAGATTCCAAATTCAGTAAAAAGCTTATATGGACAAGCTGTTTCACATCTCCTTTACTTGTGGGAGTCAGAATCACATTTTCATTGTTAATATCCAATTGTTAAAGGGTGCTTTCCACAATATTTCCTAAATCGGGGAGGGAAGGGGTAGAGGGAAGGGGGTGAAGGAAGGAAGAGAGAGAGAGAAAGAGAGAGAGAAAGAGAGAGAGACAGAGAGAGAGACAGAGAGACTGGTTGATTAACATATCCGTTCCTCTCAAGAAATCTTTGAAAAGTTATCAAATACAAAAGACAGTTTCTGTTTTGCAAAACAGTTTGTGCTCTTATTATCCAGCTAGACACTTATTAATCCTTATTGTTTTACAAAATATATTTTCCAAGTAAGGAGACGTTTCCTGATACAGACAAACGGAGATAAAGACCCAGAAACTACCTAACAAAGTTAAAGCAGTATACAAATAACAACGAATTCTATTTCTTTTGGAGAGAGGGAAGGCCACCAAAAATAACAATGACTTGCATCGCCAAATTCTACCTTGTTCTCCTAAAGAGCCCAACTTCAGATCTGCCCCAATTTCTGGCCTGTACCTTTGAAGAGCTTGCAGCCCAGCTCTCGCGTAGAGGCGGGAGGTGTGGATAACCAGGCAACAAATAGCCCAACTTGCAGAATCACACCTCCTGTCCCTCATTAGCATTTCCGATCAGTCAGAGACGATGCAGCTAAGATCTCGGGACGGGAAGCACCCTACTGTAAGAGTCCGGGACCCCGGAAGCTAGGGTTGGGGGGACGGCGGGCAGACAAAGACCCCCGAGCAATGCAGTCGGGAGGAGGTGGGGATTACAGCCCAGCAGGCCGGGGCTGAGGACGCCGCTACCGAGAACCGAGAGGGAAGCCAGAGTCCAGCCTCACTTACCTTAGCCTCTGAATTCCGCGCTTTCTGGGAAGGTCGGAGCAGGCCCGGCAGTTGCCAAGGTAACAGACGGAAGCGGCCGGGCTCCCAGTCACGTGATCCGAGTGATCACGTGGCTGGTGAGTCCCTTGAGACTGCGGCTTGTGTCTTTTTGTGCCTCTGCAAGCGAGATTTGGAACCGCCGAGGCTCAGTAGGATAGTTTGGCAGGTGAGGCCATCCCGCAGCACTAATTGCTAGGCCCGGCTTTTCTCTGCGCTTCCTGGAAGGGCGGAAGGCGCGGGCATGGCGGAGGCTGGAGGCCCCGGCGTGGCTTGCTGGGAAATGTAGTGCAGCGCCCCAAAACTCGTATTTCCGCACTTTCCCACTCCTCCCACTCGCTGCCGGAAGTTTTGAAAAATTTAATGATCGGATTTTCTGTGTACAAAGCCCTCTGTGGGCGTTGTGAGACAAACTTGAGCCAGTGAGAAAGCACTGTGTTGTCTGGGTAAGGATTCTTCCACCATCTAGTGGACAAGAAATTGAAAATACACATGCACGCAGATCTTGTAAAGACCCTGTTACTAGTCTCTGAGCACAGCTGCTTTCCCGCTGCTCCCTCTATTGCCTCATTCTTTAAAGATTTATTTATTTATTTATACAAGCACTGGGTACAGTCAGAAGCACGGGAGGGTGAGAGAATTCACCAGAGCCAGAGCAGGGAACAGAACAGACAGACTGACGAAATACACTGCTGAGGGGAGCAGCAGGCACAGCAGGAGAGGTCTGTCACACCATGTGGGCCCCTCACCCCGTGGTGGGGGATCGAACCGGCGCTATGGAGGCTGCGGGCAGCTTCATAGCCCAGCACTCAACCACTGCGCCACGGGAGAGGCCCTATTGCCTCATCCTTTGACGGCATCTTACAATTACTTTCTTGGATTTTTAATTTAATTTTTGCTATTTCTTAAAAAAAAATAGTTGGAATTTGAGAGGATAGCGTTTAGTATAGTGGAAGTAAAATTGATGACAATAGTTAATAGGATTGCTTGCAGCAGACATAATTCAGGACCATCTCTGGCGTGAACTTTTCATTCAGAAAATGAAATGGTTATTGCACTCCAAATGTATACATGCTAGGAGCGGTACCATACGATAACCTTTTGAATAATAACAGAGATTGTAAAAACTATTATTTATTGAGCACCTAAGTTGGTAAGAGCTTAACATTTCAGTCTTTCACTCAATCTTCACAATCTACATGTCATTCAATGCAGTCTGTATTTTGTTTCTAATATGTGATTATAAGGGCAGAAGGACAGGGAGCAGGTTCTCTATGACCCGCGCAGACAGGGTAAAGGAGGGAGTGGGTCCTGGAGCCCTCAGTGGCTTTTCAGGCTTTTATTGGGATTTACCAGGTACACGGTAGGCAGGGATTCTGGGGGGCCAGGAGGCTGGCAGGCCTCCCAGCACCCAGTAAGTCTTCATGCTACCTGGACTCTCTGGCATTCTCTGGTGGCCTTGTTCTCTGCTGCTCTCCTGGTTCTGCTCTCTGCTGGCATCCCCATGATGCTGCCCTTATAAGCCCAGTCTCTCAGCACAGGTGTATCCACTTACCCATGCCCACACCCTACTCCAGGTGCCCGCCATCAGGCATGCATTCAGGACCACAAGGATCCATCATCAATCCTAATGGCGGAGGGCAGAAAGCCTGATACTTTTTATTTACCCTACAGTGATAATGAATAAGACAGTCAGAATTCTGGTCCTTTGGACATGCAGAGTAATCAGAAACTTGCACTTCAAAAAGAAAACAGCTCTCATAGCAGAAGTAGGGTGTGTTAGGAAGATACTAGAGATTGTCTTACTCCCTGAGAGGCTAGAGTAGCTTCTTATATAAAATGATATCTGCATTGAAACCTAAACCATCTAAGGATCAATAGAAGATAGCAAAGGTTAATGAGTGGCAGTTTTTAGTCAAAAGGAATCCATTTAAAAGTTGCTCAAAATCTCAATGAAGTTGTGATCCCATTTTAAAAATGAGAAGCTGAAATAGATTAAGTAGCTTGCTGAAAATCCTAGTGACTGAACCAGAATACAAAACGTGTTTTCACTTCCTTATCCACTTTCAGTTCTATCATCCTGCCATTGATTAAATACTTTCCACTGCTTTACCCCACTCGCCCTTTCGAGCAGTCTAATCTAGAGCTTTTGACTATAATTTAAGAGAATCACCTGACAACTATAACCTTGTCTTTTACTCCTGCTACAACTTCTGGGACCACTTCCACTCAGGCTTTGACTAGTTTCACACACATGTAACTTGACTGTAAGCTTGGTCCTGCAGTGTGGATCATTGCCTGCATTTTTTTTTTTTGTGCGAGGTGACAATCATTAAAGGGCAATTACAAAAACTGTGAATTGATAAACTAAAAGCAAATCTAGGGACAGAAAGTCTGGGTCTTCTTTCTGGGCCTTGTCTGGTTCCTGTAAAGGAACCTTAGATTAACTGAGATGCTGGTTAAAGTTGAGTGAAATTTTGAATGGAAAGCGGAGGAGAAAGATAATGACTACCAGTACAGCTTTTGGATCACCTTCACCATCAGGGTCAGTAGTTGGTTCCATAAAACCTCCATTTGAGATTGTGTCTGGCCAGCACCTAGAAGACTTGGTGACAGGTTGGAGTTAATGGAGAGAAATGGATTTGAATAGGGAAAATTTCCGATATATTGGTTACCACTTAAAATTTTCCCAGCCCTACATCTTATTGAAATCACTCTTTATACAACCAGTTTAACAGACTTTGACCAGCTTCCTGCAGGTACAACATTCCACTTTTGTAGACATTCTATCTTTGTCTTTGTACAAAGGTAGAATGTCTCACCTTTAATACAGGTGTGAGCTTCTTACTCCCTTTTCTGGGTTTTTTTCTGACATAGAAAAGTGGAAGTCCATTGAATGGCATGCCACACTGTGGAACCTACAAGTGGTTGTGTGTTCAAGTGGTGACCTTCACCTATGGAGGATATAAACCCATACAAAATCATTTTTCCTTTTATTTCATGGATTTCATTGTAGTTTCTTCGAAGGTCTAGGAAATCCTGCACAAGTTGGCCATAATAGTTTAATAACACATCCTTATTTTCACTTTTCCTTCTTCCTGGCTTGTATTTTACTTTAGGGTTTCATTATTCTTGATGTCTGGGGTCATGTTCGCAGATAAATTACCAGTAAGTTAATCTTTTAGGGAGGATTTCAGACCCAGACAATTATCTTACTAAGTTGCAATAATAAATATTTTCAATACACAATTAGGCTTAATTATCTACAAGTATAGAGGTTTAGAGTAGTGATGGTTTTGTAAATTAAAATAATCATTTCTGCATATTCAAACGTTATTCAATTTATACTTGAGAGCTAGTAATCACACTTGTAGGTTGTTCTGTTGTTAAAATGTTCGCTCTGCTATGTAAAGTACACACACACATTTAGAGTTCTACAGATTGTGAATAAGAGGGCTTTTTTAATGCTTGAGAATTGAATGAAATTGTTCAACATTCTTTCCGTTTTGTTAACTAATTGATACTATTACATTCTCAAGGAAAAGATATATGATAAAAAGGGAAAGCTTTTCTAGTAACAAGGTAAATGAAATTTGTGGCATTATTTCTGTTGGGATTTGTAATGTCAGTTTACGCTTTCGCCATCAGAGGTCATGAAAGGACAATGTAGAACAGAATATTTGAGTTTCGTTGAAAATAAACTTAAGTTTGAAATTTGAACTGCAACTTATTCTTAGAAGTCTTTTTTAAAAAGGAAAATAACAATCTAAATGTCATTTGCAAAGGAAGATAGACTTAAGAACAAAATTATTTGATGGGTTACAAGAAACATTAGGGTGTTCTTTGACATTTGTATTCTCAATTTTTAGTTTAAGAATAAAATTTAAAATACAAAGTATTGATGAATTCTTTTCTAGGAGACACATGACATTAAATCTCAGCTGTGTTTGTGGAGTCTATAATTGCAAAAAAGTATAGTATTTATTAAAAATGAAAGGAAATAAATGAAATTAAAATTTTGAAGTGTCTGGAAATACATTTCTTAGTGAACATAGGATTACTTCTAAAACATAGTAACATATGTCTCTTCTACCCAAGAAACTGACAGTGTAAAATGTATCACTTTTCTTACTGATGATAAAAATGATATTTTAAATATTTACTATTGATGTGTTTTAACTGTCATAAGTAGCATGTGTTGATTTAAAACTTTTCTTGCTAGATAAATTATTAGAAGTGAAAAAATCAGCAAGTTAAATAGCTTGCATTTGAATTATAAAAACATGTCATTGCTTTGTCATTGCTTTCTTTTTGGAATAATAATAAAAAGTCTTATAAAATGGTTCTACTTTTATATTAGTATAGTTGGTTATGTTTTAAAAAATTCTGAGGCATACAAAACAAGTGAGTTACAAAAAGAAAAATACTGTGTGAATCCACATGTATGAGGTATCTAGAGTAGTCAAATTTATAGAGAAAGGAAGTAAATAGTGGCTGCCAGCGTCTTTGGGTTATTTAACAGGCATAGAGTTTCAGTTTTTGCAAGATCTGAAAAGAGTTCTGGAGATTGGTTGCATAACAACGTGAATGTACCTAATATTACTGAACTGTACACTTAAAATGGATAAGTATGGTAAATTTTGTCATGTGTATTTTAATAAGTAGGGTTTTACAAATGGAAATAAAATAATGCTGTGGCACACGAGTTTACACTGGACACTCAAAATCCTTTCCGATGAGGCTAGAGTCCTGTGACACTGCACCCACAGTCACCTGTGCTAACTCGAGATCGCTCTGGGTGTGGCCCCTGGAACAAACAGTGAACAAGGGAACTCCTACAGGGCAGGCACCTGGTTGAGAGAAATTATACTGATATTTGACGTATCCAAAAAGTTTAGGTTAAAATGTAACATGATTCCTCCCAATTTCTTGATTGATTTAATAGATATAACAATAGTATCTACACCATAGTGTTATGAGGAATAAGTGAGTTAAAACATGTAAACATTTTGAACAGTGATATTATTATTAATTTACTTGTGAACAGTGATGTGAGAAAACATCACTTTTTTGCGGATTTTGTGAAGCACTTTATATAGTATATGTCGTAAACATCTTTTCATAAAAGACATTTTTTGTTTGTTTCTTGGAGCCTGTGGTGGTATCACAGATATGAACAGGGCTTAAAAACAGTAAGAACAGACTCTGTATCCAATAGATGA